GGGGGGGGGGGGGCAGGAGGATCAGGAATTCAAGGTCAGGGGTGCCAGACCAGCCTGGACCACAAGCAACCCTGCCTCAACAAAACCAACCAAATCCAAGCCTTTACTGCTGAAAGGGACTGACAGGAACATGGGCGTTAAGCTGGACTTGTTGTGGAGAAAGGCATGGTGTCCTCTAAACTCTGGCCCACTCTTCCAGATAACCTTCCTGTTTTTAAGAACAAACATTTCTAAAGTGTCTTGACCACTAACTAGTCAGAGACATAGGTTTGTAAGATTTTTCTTGAAAAGGTGTTAGTCAAGGACTGGCAAAATCCATATGAAGATTAACACACATTTCCAAAATGCTATCCAAATAAAATTGATTGTATTATCACAACTACTTGATGGTAACAGTGTTTGTGTGTTTATGTGTCAGTGTGTGTAAGGGCAGAGATGATCCAGCATGTTCAAGATGAGAGGAGTTTCTGTAGCCAAATGATCCTTTGGACAGTAGGTCCTGAGCCTTTGATGTGTAGTTGCCACCCTGTGCTAAAGAGTCAGAGTCATATCAAATAGATGTACAGTTCATCCATTGATCTGCAGACTCTGCTGAACTCTGTCTTCACATGTATCACCTGATCACAGCACCAATGCAGACAAAGAAGTCTTTCCAGATCCGAGGGCATGGCTCAGTTAGCAAAGCGATGACGGAACATGAGGATGTGATGTCAAAACCTAGGAAGGCTGAATGTAGCCTTTATAAAATATAACCATGACTATTAAAAACACTAGCACGCACAGGCCCTGGGTTAAATCTTGAGAACCAAAAAAAAACCCAACCCCCCCCCAAAAAAAAAACACAAGAGAAAAGAACAAAAAACATTGAAAGAAATTTTCATAAAATAGGAACATCTTGTAATGTTCAAACTATTAGCAGACCCCAAATTTTAAAGGCCTTAAAATTATACTATCCACTAAGGTAGCCACTAACTAGAAGTAGCTGCTAAGTATTTAAATGAGCATGTCACTAGATTCAGTTGAAATGTCCTGTAAAATACACACTGAAGTCTTAAGGCTAAGTATGAGAAATAGGGATTAATGATTTTTGATAAGAATCAAATGGATTTCAATACTCTCTATGCCAATTTTATGATGAAATGATAACATTTCAGATACATGGGGTTAAATATATCATTACAAGTGGTTTCATACATTTTAAAGAAAAGTTTTTCTTACAGTGGTGGAATCAAACGCAGCGCCTGGAGCATGCAAGGCAAGCACTCTCCCACTGAGCCACATATGGTGATATTTTGTGTGTGCTCTAACAGATAAAGCTTGCCTGAAGATCAGAGGACAGAGCTAGCCACTAGTTAACCAGGCAGTGGTGGCACACACCTTTGATTCCAGCACTTGGAATCTCATGCCTTTGATCCCAGTACTTGGGAGGCACATGCCTTTCATCCCAGCACTAAGGAGGTGGAAACAAAGTGATTTGGCTGGGTGGAGAGAGGAATAAAAGGCGGGAGGAGACAGGAGCTCAGCCCCTTCTGTCTGAGAATTCAGTAGAGGTAAGAAGTCCCTTTAGTGGCTGGCTCCTTTATTTCTCTGATCTTTCAGTACTTGCCCCATATCTGACTCCAAGTTTAATTATTAAAACCAATTAGAATTCACACTACAGCCCCACCCCAGCTCTAAAAATTTTTAATATGCAGCATTGCCCGGTAGAGCCCAGGACACCTGCTGACAACTCAGTTTCACCTATCCCTCCCTGCAGGGCACATAATTATAATTAAAATTGTTTCTTCTTTATCTAAAATTTGAGTTTAACCAGGTAGATTTTTCATTTATTAAATCTTGAAATTAATATGTATTAACTTGTATTAATTAATATGTATTAATTGTATTCATATGGTTAATTTTAATTGTGATGGTGAATGTTGTCAACTCTACGGCATCTAGAATCATCTAAGAGAGACACCTCTAGGCGTCTAAGAGACATTTAGTCTCTTAGAAACTACCTGTGAGGAAGTTTCTAGACTGGGTTAGCTGAGCCGGAAAGACGAACCTTAACAGTGGGCAGGCCTGGGGTCCGGGTCTAAATAAAAAGGAGAAGAGAGCTGAGCACCAGTATTATCACTCCTGGCTTCCTGACTGAGGACAGGTGACGAGCAGCCTTGTACTCCGGCCACCATGCCTTCCCAGCGTGACTGACTCCACCCCCAACCATGAGCCCAAACAAACCAACCCTTCCTTCCCTCCTCTTCAACTGGTTTTCTCCAGCATTTTGTCTCAGCAACAGGAAATGTTACTAACACAAGGGCTACCAAAACAATTTTAATTATAATGTACACCTGTTGTGCGCACCTGTTGTCCCTGCTACTTGAGGGAAAGAGACAGGTGGTCCTTTGGGGTCAAAGTGGTAGAAAAAAAGCAGGTCAATACAGCAGGCTCCATTTCATAGATATAAATAAAAAATATTACTTTAGAATCACACAATTGCTATTTTTATGCTCGATCCTTTTCTAATTTCAGAAATATCATCTGCACAAAATAATGGCTTTCATTGTGAGGTTATTTGTTTTGAGGCTGTGTTTCATTGTGTATCCCTGGCTGGACTCAAATCCACAGAGATCCTCCTCCTTCTGTCTTCCTAGTGCTAGGATTAAAGGGCCCTGCCACCAAACCTGGCAGGTTTTTTTTTCTTTGATATTTTTACCAGTCAGCTCCTGAGTTAACTGTAAAAATAACTAATCAGAGGGTTTAACCCTAGACTACGATCCTTAATCTTGAAGCTAATTTTTTACATTTGCTTAAATCAATTTGATGAAAGAATGATTTCTTAAGAACATAAAGCACAGGCCAGGCGGTGGTGGCGCACGCCTGTAATCCCAGCACTCGGGAGGCAGAGGCAGGCGGATCTCTGTGAGTTCGAGACCAGCCTGGTCTACAAGAGCTAGCTCCAGGATAGGCTCCAAAACCACAGAGAAACCCTGTCTCGAAAAAAACAAAAAAACAAAACAAAAAAAAAGAACATAAAGCACAGAAAGGAATCGGAAAACTAAAGTTCATTGTTCGCAGCCTCATGGCCACGGTCTCAAAATCTGTCTCAATCATTTCAGTGAATATTATAATTTTATTTTATGTGAATGGGCATTTTGCCCACGTGTGTCTTTGTGCACCATGCGTGTGCCTGGTGTCCAGTAGGGGAGAAAAGGACTTTCATTCCCCTGAAACTAAAGTTACAGAAGGTTGTAAGCCATCGTTGTGTGCTGGGAATCGAACTCAGGTCCTCTGAAGGAGCAGACTCTCGGCGGGATACATCGAAAACTTAAGAGGGTAGGCTAATTAATACTTAATATCTAAGCCCTCCCCCACTGAACACCCAGCCTGGTCCCCAAGTCCCTAAAGGGGCCCTACTCGGGGGTGTGGCCTCAGAATGCCCGCCCCCTTTCCCAGCGGAGGCGGGGAGCTACAGAGGCCCCGCCCCCAGCGGCCCGCGCCCACTCTTGAGGAGACCTCAGCTCAGGGCTGCCCTTCACCACCCGCCCAATTCTGAAGCCAGGCTCGGACCCGCTTCTTTTTTTCGGGGGGGGGGGGGAGGGTAGAACTGCTTCTGCACTGCCCAGCCAGCTCGGAGTCCTGGGCCAGGTCCGGCGCCCACCGCGGATCACCCAGGCTCCTACCCCTTCCCCCTACGGCGTGCCTCAGAGCTGACCCGCGAGGCGGGCCCTGTGGCGTAGGCCCAGACCCAGAGCCCGTCATGGCCTCACGCCTAGGTATGGTTGGCGCTGGCGGGTCTGAGGCGGCGGGAGGAACTCACGAGCCTGTCCCTTCTTAACGGTCAGCAAAAGCGGTCCGCGGGCCGCTGGTGCGCGGCTGGTGCTCCGCACGCACGCACGCACGCACCCGCACTGTACACTGTGCCCCGCCCCCTGCGCCCGGCTGTCTTCAGGTTCTCCACCAGACTCAGTGAGCGACTAAGGACTCTATGTCAGCCTACGATGACCTGACCGCCTTCCTGGGCGAGTGGGGCCCCTTCCAGCGCCTCATCTTCTTCCTCCTCAGCGCCAGCATCATCCCCAATGGCTTCACTGGTTTGTCAGCCGTGTTCCTGACAGCGATCCCGGAGCACCGTTGCCGCATACCGGACACCGTGAACCTGAGCAGCGCGTGGCGCAACCACAGTATCCCATTGGAGACGAAGGGCGGACGACAGGTGCCCCAGAAATGTCGCCGCTACCGACTGGCTACTATCGCCAACTTCTCCGCGCTAGGACTGGAGCCGGGGCAGGACGTGGACCTGGAGCAGCTGGAGCAGGAGAGTTGCCTGGATGGCTGGGAGTACAGCAAGGACATCTTCCTGTCTACCATCGTGACCGAGGTAGGTGGCAGGTTCCTGTCAGCATCTGGTGATAAACGCGGGCGACGGTTGTAGTCCTTCGTCCAAGGCACAGGCTCCCTGGTGATGGGCATCCTCCAGTCAGGACGCCCAGGAACACAGATTTATGAAATGACTTCTAGCCACGGTATGTCCCTCAGAGCACAAGTGTCAGGCTGGCCATCTGTCCTTAGAGCCACATTGAAGATGAAGTCCAGAAAGTCCTGCTTCTAGGAGAAGCCCTAAGGCTCTGAGTGGTGCGACTTTGTCTAATGATGTGATCCAGAGGAGCCTAGGACTTGGTCCAGGGAATGCCTCCGTCTTAGCATCTGTGTTCAGAAAGGGATGCTCGGCAGAACTTTTCTAAGTTAAGGAAGCATGTGTCCCAAACTCTCTTCCTTTTCTCTAGTTACTCTCCCTCCTTCACTCATCCTCACCCCAAATGAAGTCTCATCCTGCCCCATGAAAAACGCCTCATGAGAGATGCCGCTTGAGAGATGCCTCATGAAAGAGGAAAGATGCCATATGAGAAATTGTTTTGTTTCGCTTGAGTGGGTTGTTATTTCTTAAGGACCCCTGGGTCTGAAGATCTATTCAGGGTGACTTTATATGGAGTCCTTTCCACAGTATTCTGAGACAAGAGTGCTGGTGGGGTTTAATTATGGCATGTAGCCTTCATGTGGAGAATGATGGAAACCTAAGTCCTCATCCCCTTGCTCTTTATTCTTCGGTGACTCTGTCCGACCCCTTGCAGTCTCTCAGCTGGAGGTGTGACATACTGTTGAAAGGTGCATGTGGATGTGTTTTGGGGACTTGGGCACCAATTGTCATTTTCTGGGCTCTCAGCAGTACTAAGTATGCAGAACAATGAAAGAGCCCTATGCCATACCGTTGGGCATCAGGGTCAGTGAATGTCAGGAATAGGGATTGATCAGTTAGGCCTCCTGGAGGAGATAACTTCTTGGTGAACCTAACCATTAGGTCCAGATCCAAGAGCAAGAAATGGTTACAGGAGGATGTATAGCAATAGCAATAAGGAGAAGCTAGGGGTCCATGTATGGCATCTGAGCCTCCTGGAGGCCGGAGACTGAGCTTCCTTCCTTATGGAGGCTCCCAGGTATGTTGCTTCAGGGGGTTGTGATCCTTCAAGGGTAGAGTCTGAGAGCATCCCTGCAAAAATCACTGCCTGCTTTCTTTAGATGTTTGAGAGCTGGTGTCTCCAAAACCTGTGCCAAACCTGCTACCTAAGTAAGTAGTTAGAGTGAAAGTTAAAGGCCGTGCTGGCACACGCCTTTAATCCCAGCACTCGGGAGGCAGAGGGAGGTGGATCTCTATGAGTTCCAGGCCACGCTGGTCGACACAGTGAGTCCCAGGACATCCAGGCATACACAAAGCAAAAACAAAACAAAAAGCCAGTACTGACTAAGTTGATTAGTGCTTTTGATCTATGAGTCCACAGAGAAGAGATTCTCAGTTGCTCCACATCCTGGTCTCCAAACTCACAGTGCATGGAAGCAAGTGGGATCTGACAGAGGCTACTGGGTGACACCCATTCCTCGGATCTGTTTCTGGCTGCCCAGAGACGGGCAGTTGAAATCTGAAGGGACTTACTGACATCTCTTGAACTTTTACCCTGACCTTGAGGGTACTGGGTCACTTGTGTCACTTGCCCTCACTCACTGTCATGCTGCTTGCTGCCTAGGGTGGACGCAGTACTGGTGAGCTCCCCAGAGCAGCGAAAGTCCAGATCCTTTTGACCTACTTCTGCTGCCAATGTCATCGTGTCTTCCCCCCCCCCAATGGATCTGGATGTTATTGAGCTGTCTTAGCAGTTTCGTAAGAGCTGTATGCCTTTTCACCCACTTACAGGTCAGCAGTCTTTGCGGGAGGTGAGTCTAATACTTTACTTAGCTCTTTTGTTTGGGGATACTGGAATGCCTGACTTGAAGTTCAAGGCTTGTCCTCTTAGATGAGCAACTGCTGTTGAAAGCTGCTGCTTTAACATTCTGATGACTTTTTCTAAGACCTGATCTGTTTCAGCCCACACCTAGCCTGCTGACCACAGCAGCTAGTCAGTCCCCTACCTGCTAAATGTCTCTAAGCCTGCCCTCTATCCCAAATCAAAGTAGATGTCTTTTAAGTACACTAGTATTGAATAATTATTCTCCTCCTCCTTCTCCTCCTCCTCCTCTTTGTCTTCCTCCTTCTTCCCTTACTCCTCTTCCTCCTCCTCCTTCTCTTTCTCTTTCTGTCTTCTTTTTCTTCTCTTGCTCCTCCTTCTCTTCCTCCTCCTCCTCCTTCTTTTCTCCTCTTTATTCTTCTCTTCCTCCTTGTCTTTATTTTCTTCCTCCTCCTCTTTCTTTTCTTTTTTTTTTTTTTTTATATTTATTTCTTATGTATACAATGTTCTGTCTGTGTGTATGCCTGCTGGCCAGAAGAGGGCACCAGACCTCATTACAGATGGTTGTGAGCCACCATGTGGTTGCTGGGAATTGAACTCAGGACCTTTGGAAGAGCAGGCACTGCTCTTAACCTCTGAGCCATCTCTCCAGTCCTCTTCTTCTCTTTCTCATTCTCCTTCTTCTCTTCCTTCTCCTCCTTCTCTTCCTCTTCCTCCTTTTCTTCTTCCTCTTTTTTCTTCTCTTCCTCCTTCTTCTTGTCTTCCTCCTCCTTTTCTTCTTCCTTCTTCTTCTCTTCTTTCTCTTCTTTCACTTTTGAGTTAAATTATATGCATGAAATACTAAACTTTGCAATAGATTTCTATTTCTCCATGAATCTTGACAGGGTACTGGATAAGGGAGATTTTTTATTGAAACATCTTTATTGGATGATTGGGTGAATAATTTATGAGACTTTTTACAATGCTTAAGAACTAACTGATAGACAAAAGATAACCCTGAGGAGCTACAAGATTGACTGGAATGCTTTCTGAGAAATGCGATTCTCTCCTCCTCCCCCACTTGGCTTTGTGTGTATTGAAAACCAGGCAGTGGGGTTGGCCAAAAAAAAGAGAACCTTTCTATGAGGTCAGAGAGCTTTGTGAGCCCACATTTCAGGAAAGCTCGCTAAGCTACGTGCTTGTAGGCTGGCCCCTCTTCCTGCCCCTTGCTCATCTCTGGGACACTTGGCAACTCCTACCCACCATGCTGTACTTCTGATCCAGGACTACCCCTTCTTCTGAGAACCTGTCTGTGGTTTCACAGAAACCCTGCCAAGCCTGCAGGCAGAAACATTTCTGTATGGCTTTCTGGTGCCTATGAGTTCAGGCTCCTTCAGCTGAAGTCTGGCATGGCTCTGCATTGTCCTACACCATACCCGTCTCTGCTTTCCATGATTCTCTTGCCAAGGCATCAGCAGGACTCCAACTTGTTCTCTGGTGTTCCAGACTAGCCTTTCCAGCTATCTTGCCTCTTGCCTAGGTCATCTTGGAAAATGGGAATTCTTCCCACCATTATCCACAACTCACTGGATGAAAACTCCTAGCACCCTAGTTGGTGGGTTTGGCATGAATCTGAAAAATAGAGAACCTTGGAGCCAGGAGCTTACTGCTAACCTGTGTTAGCCACCCCTTACCCACGCCCTGCCCACATCTGAGATCCACAGACACTCATCTTTGCCTTGGTAGCTACATGGCAAAACAAAGCCACTTGCTGGCCCTAACTCCTTGTGCACACACAGCCATAGTAGACACAGCTGACGGGAGCAGTCACACTGAGCCCTCTCTTACTGAGAACCAGCACTCTGGGTCAGGGTTCAATAATGACACAGTCAGGAGTCATAGAGCAAAGAAAAGAATTCATCCTATAGATGAAAGTCTGGTGCTCATCTGGACTCTGCACAGATGGGCAAACACTGTAAAGGAAATGATGGTGTTGAAGGGCGGTGGCCCTTTTATCCATTGAGCCACTCAGCCATGTATCATTTAGTTCCCAGGTCATTGCTCTGTTCAGGGCACGGTGGGCATGACAGAGGTTGTTAGAGCAGGTACTACTTCTCTTCCTGAAAGCCCTGAAGCAAGGGTCCACTATAATTTCTTCTTCAATTTTATTTTGTGAAATTAAATCTTGCTAAGTTGACTAGGCTGACCACAAGTGATCTTCCTGCTTCAGATTCCTGATTGTTGGGACTATAAACTCTCACCATTAATTGTAATAGGATTCACCATTAATTGTAGTGGGGGACAGAACACGATGTTTTAGGGAAAGTAGGAAGTGAGACCTGCTACTGTGCTTGGTCACTGATGCAGACACACTAGGTACATCTCAGGGAGACTTGTGCCTCTTGGACATAGATCCTATCACTTTTCTCTTCCAGCTGGTTCATGGGTGCAAGAACATTTAGTCCCAGAAGACTGTATCCTCTCTTTCTGCCTCCCTCCCTTCATTCATCCCTCTCTTCCTCTCTCTTTCTCCCGCCCCTTTCTTCCCATTGTTGAAAAGAATATTCATTATATATGAGGTAGAGATGTGCCTCTTTGGGCTAAGAGGTGACTCAGGGTAAGTATGCTTGCTGACACTGGATCCCAGCTCCCACATTGAAAAAAAAGAAGGAAGGGAGGGAGGAAGAAAGGAAGGAAAGTATTATCTGAGGTTTCTATTCTGCCCGGTTCCCACAGTCGTTAAATCCCAAAGAAATCACACAGAGTTCTACATTAGTTATAAACTGATTGGCCCATTAGCTCAGGCTTCTTATTAACTCTTATAACTTATATTAGCCCATTATTCTTGTCTGTGTTAGCCACATGACTCGGTGCCTTATTCGACAGTGCAGTCACATCTTGCTTGTTACATTGCTGGGCCAGGACTGCACATTAGGACTTCCTTCTTCCCAGAATTCTCCTGTTTTCATTGACCCACCTATACTTCCTGCTGGCTACTGGCCAATCAGTGTTTATTTAAAATCTAATTGACAGCATACAGACATTTGTCCCACACCAGGAAAGGTGGTGTGTGGGGCTTATGAGATATCTAAATGTTAAATAGCATTTTGTGCTCATCCAGAGGACCTGAGTTCTGTCTCTAGCACCCATGGGCAATTCACAACCACCTGTTATTCTGGGTCTAGAGGATCCAGTACCTTCTGGTCTACACAGGCAAGTATACACATGTGACATACACTCACATAAACACATAAAGTTTAAAAAGTCATAGACAAAATTTTAAAATCATTTTTTAAAAGAGAAATAGAAAGCTGGGTGTGGTGGGGCACACCTTTAGTATCAGCACTCCAAGAAGCAGAGGCGGTGGCTCTCTGAGTTTGAGACCACAGCAAAGCCCTGTCTCAGAAAGCAAGAGTGTGAAGGGAGCCAAGCATAGCTATGCTGTTTAGTGAGAGACCCCATCTCAAAGGAATAAAGCAGGACACCCAACATACTCCTCTAGTCTCCATGTATGTAGGTATAAAGGCCTGTATAGACATGCATGCACATATACTACATATGTATTACATAATAAAAAAACATATCTTCTTTTATAAAAGCTCAATAGTTGTTGTTTTTTCTTAAAGATTTATCTTTGTGAGTATTCTGCATGCATGTGTTTGAAGTACCACATGCATGAAGTGGCAAAAGAGGACATGGGATCCTCTGACAAAAAGCTCATCAGTGATTGAGACATAATTGAGATAAAGAGTCTATCTAAGTGGACAGTTTGGAGAGCTCTGGCACCTATGTTAACATACCCTTGAACCCACTACTACTAGAGAGACACATTTCTGACTAGAAAGTAGTGTGGACCCTGGCCATAGCTGTTCTCAATTCTCCAAGTTTGGGTCCCCTTCTCCAGTTCTCCATCTATGAAACTTGATGCATGGCCAGTACTTCAGAGCCACCTACCAAGTAGAAGAAGCATTGATGGTCTAGCCTTCGGGTGCTTTAGTTATAGCTGAGTAGCCAGATGAGTACAGGAATACTAGGTTCGTGTGCAAGCTCATCAAGCAGGAATGTGTAACTTTGACTATGATCCCACCCCTCCAACAAGAATTCAGGCCAAGTCCAAATGCCTACTGCATTGGATATGAAGGTTGGCAGGTGAATGAATAGGTGGGACACACCCTGTGCTTTTGAGAACTCTTGTCCTTAGCTGACTATTCACAGGTTCCCTATAGCCAGTAGGAGACAAATATTAATGTAAGCCAGGCCCTGGGAGGTATCAGGGATTGTCAGTGGGAGTCCCTGTAGGTGTCCAGGTAGGGAAGAAAACCCTGTGAAGAGATAAGAATGAAAACCCAGTTCAAATTGACTTCATCAAACTGGATCAGACTTTGATGGTTTATTCCCAATATATTTAAGCCTAGTACAATTTTGGGGGAAAAGTTTCTTTGTGTAATACAATTCCCAGTGTACAAAGAAGAGCAATTATGTTGAAATGCAACTCAGGGTACAAGTCATTTCATCCAAGAAGATGGGTTCTAGAGATAGGCTATTTGTACTAGTTTAAGGGCCTAAGTAAGGGTCTGGCCTAGTCTGTCATATAGATAGCATAGAGGTCATTTGGGCTATTAGCCATCTCAAGTCCTAGTTGTAGGAGCTTGGGAGAGCCTCTGGCTATCAGGGTCATTGAGATTACTAGCCACCTCCAGTCCTAGTTGTAGGAGCTTGATATGGCCTATGGCCTGGCCAGACAAATAACACAAATCACCAAGCAGTTAATCGCTTGCAAGTCTCAGCTTTCTGGATGGAAGAAGAGGTTTTTCATCTTTCTTATTGGAAAAACAATCCTGTGTGCTTAACATTCCTGGTTTCTCCGGTGATCTGTGGGTACAAGGACCTTCATGCTATGCTCCCAACACTGTCAGTGGTGGGTGACAGCGTAGTTATTTCATTGAGCTCACCTCTTACCCAGACTAAGGATAGGATAAATCAAGCAGCGGAAGTGAAAGCCTGAAAGATGCTCCCATGCCTGCCTATAGATGAGTTTGACTTGCTTTTATATGCTATCCAGCCTCAAAAGTGTGTTTGGGAGACCTATTGAGGTCCACAACTCTAGAACTCAATTGTAGAATCCTGTGTACATTTTCTTTTCCTTTTTTTAAATTTAAATTTTTTAAAACCATCTTTTCTCATTTTACATACCAATTCCAGTTTCTACCACCTCCCCTCCTCCTGCTCCCCCACCTTCTCCTCCACCCCATCCCTTATTCACTCCTCAGAGAAGATAAGGCTTCCCATGGGGAGTCAACAAAATCTGGCACATATCTTTGATGCAGGACCAAGGCCCTCCCCACTATATCTAGGCTGAGCAAGGTATCCCTCTAAAGAAAATGGGCTCCAAAAAGTCAATTCAAGCACTAGGGCTAATTCTTGGTCCCACTGTCAGTACCCTTACAGACTGCCCCAGCCATACAATTGTCACCCACATTCAGAGGGCCTAGTTTGAGCCTGCTGTCAGTCCAGAGTCAGTGAGCTCTCACTAGCTCAGGTAAGCTGTTTCTGTGTGTATCCCTATCATGGTCTTGAATCCTTTGCTCATATTATTGCTCCTCCCTCTCTTTGACTGGACTTTGGGAGCTCAGCCCAGTGCTTCACTGTGAATCTCTGCATCTGCTTCCTTCAGGCTCTATGACCATTAAGATAGTCATCAATCTGATTACAGGGGAAGGCAAGTTCAAGCAGCCTATCCAGAATTGCTTAGGGAACACTCATATCACAAGGACTTTGCTCAGCTGTTCATAGCAGCATTATTTGTCTTAGCCAGAACCTGGAAACAACTGAAGAATGGATAAAGAAAATATGGTACATTCTTTTCCTTTTTTACCATTCCTCCTCCACATCTTCCTCCCTTTTTTTTAACAAAAGACATGATCTGATGTAGCCCAGATTAACCTTGATTTTAACAACCTTGAATGTTGACATTCTGATTCTTCTTCCCAAGTGCTGGGATTATATGCATGAATCACCATACATGCTTTGTGCAATACTAAGGATTGAACCAGGGCTTCATGTATGCTAGTCAAGCACTCTACCAACTCAGCTTCATCCCAATCTTCTGAATGGATTTCTTGTCTAGCATGGATGTATCAGTCCCAAACCATCACAATGGACTTGTTGATAAACAGCTTCCAACAACTTACCCTCATTTCATCTTTGTTTTAGCAGAAGTAATACATTTTATCATATTTGAGAATGACAGTAGCCATAATGTAGCCTATGACAAACAGCTTCACAGAAGCTCACATGCTGCCTGCCATCATTGACTCCTTTAGCTTTAGGACTCAAACCATTCATATGGCTTTAGCAGTCACATATGGATGGTGGTCACTATAGGAACATTTATCCACCTACCTAGTATCTGGGTGCTAGCACCACCAAGGCAGGTGGAACCTGGAGGAGCGAGAGCATCTAGGTCTCCTTGACTCCTGCTGGTCTCTGCTTCCTTTTTGACTTGGAGATCAGCTATCCACAATTATCCCCTGGGTTGGGATCACCACCCATCCTAACTCATCCTAAAGTACATGTTACTCCAAAGTGAAGAGCTAGTAGTATGCCTGAGGCAGCAATGGAGGTTCTTTATGGGCAGCTAGTTGGGTGCCCTTCACACCCAGGTACAGGTGGACTGCATGAACCCGGGACAGCAGAGAGGCCCGGCTGTTTATTCCTCTGCCACCAGCCCAGAAGACATTCTCTGTGAGAGCAGCACTCTCCCAGCCTCTGCTGAGTGCTGGGGAGGCAGCAGGCTCTGTGGAAGGCAGACAATAGTCTATGAGAGACAAGATGGTGGGGAGGCACCTGCTTTCTCTGCATTGCTGCCCAGATGAGCCATTGCTTGTGTTAGTGAGTGCATATACTCAGAACATTCAGGGATGCAGGGTATTCCAGTTCATTTAACAAGAAGCCTTACATTTCAGAAAAGAAGTGAGTGATGCATCCCTTTGCTTTTCCTACAGTGGAACCTGGTGTGTAACGATGACTGGAAAGGCCCTCTCACCACCTCCTTCTTTTACGTGGGTGTGCTCTTAGGCTCCTTCATTTCGGGACAGCTCTCAGACAGGTAAGGTGTCTGGTACTGATCAAGGAGTATGTTCCTTTCCTTTGATTTTAGCTGATGGTGTTCTCTTAGACTATGGCCATTCGTTTCAGAAGCAGCAGCATCTATGTCTAGCATGGACTTCCAACAACTTCCAAATGGGCCAACCTCTCATGTAATTTTCCAGTTCTTGTAGAGCAGAGAAACCTGAGCTAGCCAAGCCATGTGTACCCATGGTCCAATGACCAGTTGCCTTGCCATGATTCACTTCTATATATATGTGGCCTCCTTTCCCTGGGAGATTATAGCACTCTTGTATGAGAAAAAAGGGAGAGGTTGATGCTATCCATGTGTGGATGTGCTGTATTGTAGAGCACTAGGCAATACCATGGTGCCCACATCTGTATTCTAAAGATAGGATTCTTTCTCCCTGAGAAGGTAAGAGAAGATTGAGATCTCACTGGTCAGTTGGTGGTGTGAGGAGCAGAACTCTGGTGTCCCCTAGCTAAGTGGCCCATGGTTATAGCACTTACTGTATGACCAGGATACTGAATGTTAATTGTAATTATGATGATATTTATGCATTTTCTTTTTTTTTGTTTTTTGGTTTTTCGAGACAGGGTTTCTCTGTAGCTTTGGTGCCCGTCCCGGAACTAGCTCTTGTAGACCAGGCTGGCCTCGGACTCCCAGAGATCTGCCTGCCTCTGCCTCCCGAGTGCTGGGATTAAAGGCGTGCGCCACCACCGCCCGGCCAGATTTAAAGCTTTTATCTGAGTTACATCAATGGCTCAGAGAATTTTTAAAAACTTGAAATTAAAGCAGTGGGTGGTAGTGTACACCTGTAATTCCAGTATTCAGATGGCTGAGACCACAGGAGCGAGAGTTCAAGGCCATCTTGGGCTACTCAGTGAGAACCTGTCTCAGAAGCCAAAAGTAACAACTCATAAAATTATATGCAAACGGTTAGGGATGCGGAGTTGTTGTTATGTTTGATCAAGGTCAGTAGCTTTTGTGAAGTTCTCAGAAGGGTTTATTATGCTATATCCCTTTCTTGGAGCTTTATGATCTATCACAGACTCCTGAGGTCAGAAGAGAGGCTTGCTCCGGAGCTTTGGCCATGGTGGCTCAGTAGAGGGTGCTGCAGCATCCAGCTCAGAGAAAAATCCAGGCAGAGGCAGAATGTTATTCTGTCTGGGAAGTAAAGCTGCATTGCTCTGTCACATACACTCAAGGTGATATGATTACACATTTTTATCTATGGAGCATCGTCACTTCATTAACTCAAAATTTTGGGGCTTGTCTGTTGTTTTGTATGTTTTTATTTATTATTTGTGTATATATATTGGAGGAGATGTATGTATGCCAGAATGCCAAAACATGCATTTGGAGGTCAGGAGAAAACTGTGGAATCCCACTTTTACTTCCAGAGTTCCAACTGAATTCATGAGGCTTACATTTGCTTTTTGTGGGTCCTTTTTTTTTTTTTTTTTCTTTAGATAAGGTCTTTCTTGCCTTACGTGACCTGGTATTTGTTATGTAGGCCAGGATGACATTAAACTTGGGGCATTCCTCCCACACACCTTCCTGATGCTAGAAATAAAAGAATGTACCACCACACTCAGCTAATGAAAATTTACGTAAGTGTATATTTCATTAGATTTATTTTCAGGAGTCACCAAGTGATTAAAAACAAAAATACTCAAAGCTACCAGGGTGCATTAAAGAGTAGGCTGCCAGTTGTGGTGGCGCACTTCTTCAGTACTTGAGGAGGCAGAGATGGGTGGTTCTCTGAGTTTGAGACCAGCAGTGTGTTCTAGAACAGCTGTTACCCTCAGGAACACTATTTCACAGAGACAGGAAAAATTAAAAACTAAAGAGGTCAGTAAGCTGTGACCAAAGATTGCCAACTCTGGATTTCCCTGCTGGAAAGTGATGTTTCTCTTAATCTAGTAACAAGCATCAACAGATGGCTTTCATTGGTTTAGCAAATATGTAGTATGTAATGAGTGTCAAACACTGTTCTACATACAGCAAATCCTAAATGCCAAAGAGGGAACCATATCCTTACAACCCTCTGAAGCAGGAACTGTTATTCCCATTGTATAGGAAGGGAAAGTTAAACATGGTAGTTAGGTTACATAGGGGCAAGTAGCTGGTTATACTGAGGCCCAGAAAGACTTGATCCTTTGGTTTTCTAGACTACTGTTAAAGACTTCTGGAACTTGCCTATTGGCAAGGCAGATAGATGGATTCAACTTACTGAGGAAGTGATTGTTTTCCTTGGCAATGGGAAATAATAATACCAGAGGCTACGGTACTGTGAGAGTGTCTGACGGGGCCAGAGGAGGCTTTACTGAGAAGCAAAGCATGAGCTGATTGTGGAAAGATGAGTAGAAATTTGTGTCAAAAGTGGTGGAGAGATGAAGAGATTCCAGGCAGGAGCAACAGCCATGCATTAAAGTCTTGGCTGACGTCTGGAGAGTAGGGTGGAGACAAAGGGCCAGAGGCAGGCAGAGGTCTGAGCAGATGGGCAAACTGGGCTTAGCTCAGATCACAACAAGGCATTTGGGTTCAGTGAGAAGCCTTGAAAGTTTTTTTTGCTACTTTTTTTTTTAAACTTGAGTGTGACATGCATTTTAAAAAAGAATTTGGCAGTCTAGTATTGATGGAAGGAAAATAAGAGAGACCTTTTTTCTTACACACACACACACACACACACACACACACACACAACCTCTCTCTCTCCTTTTAGTTTTTGGTGTTTTTTTGGTTTTTTTTGTTTTTTTTTTTAGTTTTTCGAGACAGGGTTTCTCTGTAGCTTTGGTTCCTGTCCTGGCACTAGCTCTTGTAGACCAGGCTGGCCTTGAACTCACAGAGATCTGCCGGCCTCTGCCTCCCGAGTGCTGGGATTAAAGGCGTGCGCCACCACCGACCTACTGGCGGGCGGTGTTTTGTTTTTTCAATACAAGGTTTCTCTTCTGGACAGCACTGGTTATCTGGCACTCCCTTTGTAGATCAGGCTAGCCTGAACTCACAGAGATCTATCTGACTCTGCCTCCTGTGTCCTGGGATTAAAGGCGTGCACTGCCACACCCAGTTTACAAGAGAGAACTTAAAGGGATCAATTAAAATATTTTCAGTGCTTCTTTCAGAAGATGATAGGAGCTGAGCATAGGACCAAGGCTGGAGAATGAGAGTGAAATCAGAAAGACTTGCTGTCTGGTCACATGTGGGGAGTGCAGACAGAAAAGGCCTCTGGCCTTCATAGCTAAGACAAAGAACCACATTTGCAGGGGAGGCATTGGATATAATAGGAAGGTATTGAATTTGGGGTGATTACAAGAGAGATTCCGTGAGAGGTTCCTGTAGGTGTAATGGCAGAGGAGGGGCAGGAGCAGGCTGAGAGGTTCTTCAGGTAGAAGTGAGGAATTTAAGGGTAGAATGACCACTGAATCTCAAAGGAATTGATTTGATGTCAAAATCAAGGAGGAAGTACCCAAGCTGAGTGTAGAAACCATGTCAGTTGTGTGCTAGGTTACATAGATCTTTATGAGCCATCTTAAGAACCTGTGTGCCATGCATGGAACACTATGATCACCTGAGGAAAGGGAAGTCCCACACTAAAGGGTTTGCTCCCAAAGAAACAATGGAAACAAAATTCATGAGCATGCTAGGCATCACCTTCCCTACAGAGGGGAGATGGAGTGTGTTGGAGACCTTCTCTGAAATTTTTGAGGCAGGGAGCTAGGGATTGTAGTCCAGTTGGTAAAGTGTTTGGCTAGCATGCATGAAACCCTAGGTTTGATCTACACACTGAATAAACCAGGTGTGATGGTGCACCCCTGTAACCCCAGCACTTAGAAGACGGAGGCAGGAGGATTACGAGTTTAAGGTCATGCTCAGTTACATAGTGACTTACAGGCCAGCCTGGGATACATGACACCCCTCTCTGAGTGTGTGAGTGTGTGTGTATGTGTGTGTGTGTGTGTGTGTGTGTGTGTGTTGGCTTTTGCACCTGAAAATCTCTTTTAAGCAAGCTTGCTCAGCCTGGAAATGAAAGCCTGAGTGCTATGTTCTGACTGTGGTCCTCGCCTGCAGCTCCCAGCATTGCCATAGCCTGTTGCACAGCCAGAGACGTGCTGGGGCTTGTGAGGACGGCTCTGCACCTCACTACTTCTGAGTACGAGGTTGACAAACAAACCAGATTATGGCCTCAGTTGGTGTTCAGAGGAGCAGCAGTAACTTTTTAATATGGGAGAAATGTTAAGCTTTCTTCTTGGAATATTATTAAGTCGGAATTAAGATAATTTTATATTGTCATGCCTTCCCCCCTCCCTGAGATAGAGTTTCTCTGTGTGGCCCTCGCTGTCTTGAAATTCACTCCATAGACTAGGCTAGCCTCAAACACAGAAATCTGACTGCCTAAAATTGAAGGCATGCACCATCACTGCCTAGCCCATTGTCATGCCTTTTATGTGACAATATCAGGCTATCATTTTGTATTATGAGAGGTTCAACACTGGGAAGAAGTAGATTAATAGTTCCTGGTTTTGTAAATGTGTATGTTTGCCATTTTGTTGACAGCCTTTAAAAATGAGGTCTGTGGGTGGGAGAGATGGCTCTGGGTAATGGTACTTTAATTCTGGAAGCCAAATTACTTTAGATTCTGTCATTGTCACAGTTCAACCACAATGGAGTGGCCTGACAACTACCAGCAAGTCAAGCAGTAGAACTTTGTGCCTCAGAAGCCCATCCAGTGTCTGCCCCACCCAAGTTAGCATGCCCTCAGCCGCGAGTGCTCACTGCTCTTGCAGAGGCCCTGAGTTCCATTCCCAGTTCCCACATTAGGCAGCTCCCAGCTGTCTCCAGCTCCAGCTGTGAGGGATCTCATTTTCTGGTCTCTATGAGCACCTGTACTGACACATGTATGTATCCCCTACCCCACGAACATATATGTACACATTATTCAAAACAAAAATCTGCAAAAAAAAAACTTCCATTGAACAAGGTTATAGAACCACTTCCATGTAAACAGCTGGGTAGCTTTGCTTTATAATCCCAGGGATGAAAGGGCAGGAGCAGGAGCTTATTGGCCAGCCACCCTAAGCTAATGGGTGAGTTCTAGATGCCAGTGAGAAACCCTGTCTTAAAATGAGGCGGACAGATCCAAGGGGCTCCTGATGCCATGTGGCTCAGGCAAGCAAAAGTCATCCATGGGGCTGCCTGGGTCCTCATAGTCTGATGTACCTGAAGGCATCCACAGACCCACCAAGTGCCTTGAGCACCAGGTAGGTGGTTGCCATTATGATGAGCAAGTCTATGGTGGAGAAATGGGAGAGAAAGAGAAGCAGAATTGTTCTTGTGCTATGGTAAGAGGCAGTTCTGAAGAAGTGAGGGTGGTGATGAATTGACTGATGTTGGTGACCTGCCTGACACTGGGGCCAGGGTAATGTCTAGGCCCAGGCTGCAGCTGAGGTTCATGTCTGGGTCCATGGCCCTACTGCATCCAGGCTCTGTGTTGATGCTTGTGGCTTCTGATATGATGAAAGGACATGCAGATGCTAAGGGTCTGGGCCACCACCTAGGGCCATGTTGGTGTCCAAGGGCCATAGTGCTCAGGAGGCATGCCAGTCTGACCTGTGCCACCACATAGAGCCATGGTGAGCCTCAGCTGCTGCCAGTGACCATGTCTGAGTCCATGGCCCTGCTACAGCCAGGGTCTGTGTTGATGTTCTGTGACTCCTGATACCGCTGGGGGCTGTGCAGATTCCGGGATCTGGACAGCCACCTGAGTCCATATTGGTGTCCAAGGGCCTTATTGCTACCGGGGCCATGCTGCCATCAGGGCCATGGTGACATCAGGGCCTAAGCTGCAATTAGGGGCCATGTTCCTGCTGCAGCAGGGATCTGTGATGATATCCATGGCCCATGTTGCCATAGTGGGTCATAGGAACCATGTATGTTGAATCCAAGGGCCATACTGAGCCAAGCCTGTCCCTCCCTGGCCCTGGGATAGCTGGCTCTGCCCCTTGCTGGACAATGCAGCAGGAGAGCTAGCCCTGCACCCCTATGGAAAAGCTCCCGTCCACCCGCACTAAGGAGAGATGGCCCTAATGGTAGGAGCCTAAGAGAGCTGGCTCTGTCCCTCGCCTGACTGGTCAGCTCAGCTACCACCCAGACCCACATCCTGAGCCTTGGGTTGGCCCACACTAACTAGACATCTACCCCATCGCTGATGCTGGAGTGCGGGAAGGGACGGGTGCTGCAGTGATAACCGCAGGGCAACAGCAGGCTATCTGAGAGGAGTTTCAGCAAAAGTGCAGTGATGATGCTGTACCAGAGGCCTTGAACTAAAACAGTGGCTCATTGCAATGAATATTTTGCGGGTGGGGGCTGATTGGACATACTGCATGAAGTGCCACAATTCCTGGTACCAGTAGAATGAATGAAGAGGTATTAGAAAGATGGAGGAGTGAGGTGAGTTTTGTTTGTTTTTGTTTTAAGTAATTTGGGGGGCGTGCTGCAGGGGTGAGGGAGGGATGTGGAGGGACAGGGAGATGGGTGGGGTTGGGGTGCATGACGTGAAATTCCCAGAGACTCAATAAAGAAATAAGTTTAAAAAAATGATGTGGGCAGCTTCTGAATAATGACACTGAGATTGACCTCTAGTTTCTACATGCATAAATACACGTGCACAGGAGAACACGTACACATACACACACACACACACACACACACACACACACACACACACACCAAAGAAAACCTCCAAACTGAGATTCTTGTTGTAAAGAAGATGTGTAAAGAGAGCAGACAGCTTACGTCCAGGGAAGGGATTGTTGCAGTTTTTGATGGTACTCAGGATAACTACAACACAGTAGGCAGATGGACACATAGAAACCTGAGAAAGCTTTGTTTCAGGTGTATCCGAGGGTGTTTCCCATAGTGTGTGAATCTACATGGACTGAGGAGAAGGTCCTCCATGCAGACAGTGTGGGTGAATGTATTCTCCAAAAAGAGCCATGACCAAAAGAAAACAGAAGCATGCTAACCTAAGAAAGACAGCAGTCTGCACTGTAGATAATGATGCAAGTCTGCTGCTCCTCTGACCGCCTTCATGCAGTTGCCCGTAATCTGTCCCTGTAATAAACGGTTTTGTATGTTGGGTTGTTTTTGTAGTTGTGTTTGTTTTCATTTGTGCTGGAAGTTGAATCCAGGTCCTGGTGCTTGCTAGGCATGCCCTCTGCCACTGAACTATGCTCATCTCCTCCCGTTATTTTGAATTACAAGTACCATTATCTATAATCCATTATGCTACATATTTCATATTTGCATCATTTCCAATAGATACTATTGTACTTCCACAATAAATGAAGAGATGGATTTTTTTGTATATCTGCACTTGAGAAAGATAAAAATTTCTCCATATCTCAGCCCCTTGGGTGACCCATGGAGGGTTTTGTTGTTGTTTTTTAGGGTTGTTTGTTTGTTTTCCCAAAGATTGGGGGCTGGAGAGACAGTTCAGACATTTAGAGCACTGACTACTTTTGCAGGGCTTAGGTTTAATTTCCAGCACCTATATAAAGGCTCACAGCCATCTGTAACTCTGGTTCTAGGGGATCTAATGCTCTCTTCTGACCGCTGAGGGTACCAAGCATAAATATTATGCTCAGACATATATGCAGACCAAACACCTATAAACATAAATTAAAATTTTTTAACTCAAGCAGAAAAAAATCAGATTGCTTGTCTGGTGACCTTTTACATTTTCAACATAAATGTGCTTACTGGCAAAAATAATGACCTGAGTTCAACCTCTAGTACTCATATGATGGATGGAGATATCAACTTCATACGTTACCCTCTAATCTCCACTTGGGTGTACCCCAATAAATAAAAATGAAAGAAAAGTTTAAAATGAAAAGGTTAGAATTGTGAACTGGGGTATAGCTCAATAGTAAAATACTGACCTAGAACAAGGTTTCTGACCCTTATTCTGACCCCAGAAGAAAGACTCAGGTTACATGGTTGCTTCAGCCACCTACAGTTATTAAATCTGAGTGCACACAATTGCCAGGCATGTCTGTTACCACATTGCGGACTTTGAGCCATTTCTTTGTATTTATAAATACTTTGCTCCTGAATGTTATATACAAGTGACTATTTTATGTTTATCAAAATATGTGTGAATGACTATTTAATTGTGTAAAGTATATGAAATTTCTGCCATGCATTTATTTCTCAAACCCTTCTTTAAAATGTAAATAAATGCAGTTAATTTTTTAACTTGAGCCGGGCGGTGGTGGCACACACCTTTCATCCCAGCACTCAGGAGGCAGAGACAGAGAGATCTCTGTGAGTTCAAGGCCAGCCTGGTCTACAAGATCTAGTTCCAGGACAGGTTCCAAAGCTACAGAGAAACCCTGTCTCAAAACACCCCCCCCCCAAAAAAAAGAATTCACTTGGGAGAGAATACACTCAATATGTTACAAAAGTCAAATTGTCAAACAACTATATATTCGAGTTTTTTACATGTATTTTGTCTTTAAAGTTATTATGAATATATGGATTTAAACATAACAAATGCCTTTCTAGCCCCTGTAGTCACTAGCATCAGTGAGGCACTGCCTTTGGAGCAGCCTGAGTGTCCAGGCTACAAATCCATCTTGGAAAGTATCAGTGACAGCATGGGGACAGAGAGTAGAACCATCCTGGTGCCCGTCCTTATAACAGGAGAAAGCACCTCTTGGTGAAACCAGTTGCTGCTGCCTCTCAACTGTTTCTCTGTGATCCTCCTCTCCTCCCCAGGTTTGGTCGGAAGACTGTGCTGTTTTGGACCATGGCCATGCACACGGGGTTCAGCTTCCTGCAAGTCTTCTCTGTGAACTTCGAGATGTTTACTGCACTGTATACCCTTGTTGGAATGGGTCACATATCCAACTATGTGGCAGCATTTGTCCTGGGTATGGACATCAGTTGGAGTTCAGTTCTAGATACTGTGTTTCACTTTTCTGGAGACAAGTTGTTATGTCCCTCAGGGAAAACTGGCTAGAATTCCCCAGTAAATAAACCTAGCTTAGCAGCTGGGAAATTGAGCCTGACAATGGTTTCTGACTTTTGATGTCCAGTTCTCTTCTGGCCTCTGACTTGTGGACCCTTGGCCTTATTAGTACTTAAACCATTAACTAGGATTCACCACGGGGCATCCATTCTTAAAGACTTGCAAGGCAAGGGCCTAGGTAGCTAAGGAAAGAAGGAGGCACACGGGGGGGGGGGGGTGGCATGATGGGCGGTCTCCCTAGGAAAGGGAGATGCCAAAGAGCATTGGTGGCTGTCAGTGTCTGCCAAGGACCGTGAGCTGAGAGGTCCAGTTAAGGTTCTGTCAGAGTCCACCCTTCAAGGCTCTGACTCAGACAAGCCACCTTGTTCCCACTGGAAAGCTTCTGGTCTCCCTGTTTGGAAGAGCCTTGCTGAAGCAATCAGATCACTGAGTTCCTTGGGTTGTATTGTGGAAAGCATTATTACTTTCTTTTCGCATTTCCTAGAACATCCTATTTTCCTCGAAGGATAATAGTTAGCATGTGTGGCTGGGGATGATGATGATGATGTTTTCATGAGAGCACTGTTGCCCAGGGACCTCAGAGAAATACCCAGGAGCAAATCAGACTTAGTTCAGATGCAACCCTTCCCAGGGCCTCAGAACACAGCTAACTCTGGCTCCCTCCTTGTCTCTGCACTGAAAATGATACCACAGAAGAGTCATAAGAAAATAACCCCAATTAATGATTAACTTTACTCCTCCCTTGTTTTGAACAGGAACAGAAATTCTCTCCAAGTCAATTCGAATTATATTCGCCACCTTAGGAGTGTGCATATTTTTTGCATTTGGCTTCATGGTGCTGCCTCTTTTTGCATACTTCATCAGAGACTGGCGGATGCTGCAGCTGGCAATCACTTTGCCAGGGGTGTTGTGTGGGCTTCTCTGGTGGTAAGTGTGGCCCCACCCCTTGGGCCGACTGCCTTTGGGGAGGCTTCTGTCTCCTGTCCAGTAGAGGGCAGCAGTAGTTCCCAAACCCCAATCTAGATCCCAGAAAAAAAGGTAGTGAATATTATTTATAAATCAGGTCAGAAAGTCTCTCCATACTCAGAAAAGCCTGCTTGTCCTGTGCCCTGTTCTAGGCTGAACTAAGAATTTGCTGCATGCAGATAGGGGCCAACCTAACCTCTGGGGAATTCTCAGATCCCGGTACAAGACAGCAAGACCTAGGCTGTAGATGCTTGATGCTGAGGCTCCAGGCATGGGTGTCGGGAGGTAAAGAAAGGGAGGGCTTCAGAAGTGAGCTTCCTTGAGTGGCTCTGCAGAGGAATGCAGGCTCCAGCTACACTTCCAACAGAGGGGCATTGATCAGGCAGAGCATAGGCCTCAGAAATAAGCCATGGAACTTGACAGAGGAACCAGGCAGGAATCACTCCTTACACTAGACCGGACTAAGGTGAGATCCTCATCCATGTACAGTGATGAGCACCCTGGAGATTACTGGGAGAAGAAGAAATAGTGCATTATGGCTCCTGATTATGACAGCGGAGAGAGGGCTGCCTGGGTACAAGGAAAATATCCAGTAAGACTCCAGCCTTGATACCCATGCTGCTTTGTGGAAAGAGACTGACAAGTCCAAAATCAGAGGTGGACTGAGGAAGAAATGATGTCAAGTGATCGCTGCAAGTTTCTGTGGATGTCGGGGACAGAGTAGAAGATGGCAGGATCTGGCTGTGCCTAACTCTCAGCACCAGGAGCCCATCCTGTGCTTGTCTCCTTAAAGCCCTCAAGGGGGCAGCACTGCTGCAGACGTGCAGGTGCCAGCCTGAGTGGAGATCCCCTTGGGATGTGCAGGATGCTTGAGTTTTCCTCACTATAGTCAGTGTTCAGCAGAACTCATAGCTTAGGAAGTGCTGGGCCATCTCTGTTTCTGGCTTATAAAAACACCTGATTGTAGAAGGAGGTGAGCATACCTGCTTTTCGTCCCGCCCAGCTCCTGCATGGTTAGCTTTACACCCGAAATAACAACACACAAACTATTCATTTAAGCACTGCCTGGCCCATTAGTTCTAGCTGCTTATTGGCTAATTCTCACATCTTGGTTAATGCATTTCTAATAATCTGTGTAGCACCACAAAGTGGTGGCTTACTGGGAAGATTCTAACCTGCGTCCATCTTGGAGAGGAGAGCTATGGCGTCTGACCAACTATGCTTTCTTTCTCCCAGCATTCTGTTCTGTCTACTCCACCTATCTAAATCCTGCCCTATCAAAAAGCCAAGGCAGTTTCTTTATTAACCAATGAGAGTAACACATAGACTGGTGACCCTTCTCTATCACCTGATACTCCACATACTCCCTCTGCACCTGAAACCTCATTTCTCATCTCTAGTTAAGCATGCCCAGCCTCTGGGAAAGCAAGCAAACAGGAAACATCACTAGAATGCACTTGTACTTTCAGGTGTATTCCTGAGTCCCCCCGATGGCTCGTCTCTCAAGGCCGAATTAAAGAGGCAGAGGTGATCATCCGCAGAGCTGCCAAAATCAATGGAATTGTTGCACCTTCCCCTATTTTTGATCCAAATGAGGTAAATTTGTGTGGAAGGTGGTGGAGAGACTCACTCTGGTCATTTTAGGTCAGCACCATACAGCACAGCTCACAGGAGCTCAGCCCTTACTCTACCCAAACCCCAGCCATCCCTAGAGCAAGGTCTGTTGAAATGCAGAAGTTAAAGGCATAGAGAGATGATTCAGTCTGTAAAGTGTCTGCCATATAAGTATGAAGACCTCGGTTCAGATCACCAAAAAGCCAGGCATGGCAGAGTGTACCTGTAATCCCAACACTGGGGAAGCAGGGACAGAAGGATCCCAGGGACTTAATCAGGACTGGCTAGTCCAGCCAGCTAACCAGTCAAGGAGAGATCTTGTCTCTAGTGTAAGGTAGAAAAGTGATTGAGGATGACACCCTAAGTCAACCTCTAGCCTACACACACACACTCACGCTCACATTCCTGTGGTCCATACACATGTACACCCATGAACATGTATACACTCGGACCTCTGAGGGTAAGTAATGGTTCTAGATACCTATTCTCTCCCATGGACTTTTTTCCATGCTTACTTTACTTCCTATCCAAGTAACATAAACAATATATTTTAACCATTTCTCTTTCTTTATTTCTTTTTAACATAGGCTCTCAATATGTAACCCTGACTGGTCTAGAAATCGGTATAGACCAGGTTGGTTTCAAACTCACAAAGATTTCACTGCCTATGCCTCCAAAGAACTGGAACTGAAGAGATATGCTATCATATCTGGATTACTTTTGATAATAAAATGCCTTTTATTAGCAAGAGGCTTCCATCAACTTTAGCTTTCTGGAAAGTCACTGTTTCTTATGCCTCAGGGTGTAGATGGATTTTCTTTGGACCACCAGCTCACAAATAATAACACAGAGACTTATTATTAATTACAAAAGCTCAACCTTAGCACGGGTTTGTCCTAACTAGTTCTTATAACTTAAATTAACCCATACTTTTTAATCTACGTTGTGGCTCAATACAACTTCTCTCTGTACTTCCCACCCTGCTTCCTCTGGGCTGGCCATTCAGACATTTATTATACAAATCACAACATTACATCTTCACACGATGTACAGATATCACACAACATCAGGGATTGTCATAGAAAGATAATCTGAACACTGGTAGATTTGCACTCAGTAGTGTTCTGTCTCTGACTGCTGTTTTTTCTGATGGCCATCTCTTCCCTGTTCTCATATTCCATGAGTAATTTCTTGTAGTGTAAGCTGCAAGCATGTTTGAGATGCTCTGGGCTGATGAGGACTGGGGGCTAGTGAGAGAGGAAGCAGTTGTTACAGGCAGCAAAGATGCTGATAGCCACCAAGAGTCCTTAAGTGGTGGCCCAGCAGCCACAGTCACTTATCACTCACCAGCTCTAGAAGGTCTCTGAGGCACAGAAGTCAGGACTGCAATGTGACTAAGGTCATTTTAAGTGAGGTGGAGTCAGTCTGGGTGAACGCTCCAGCCTCATTAGCACCACTGAGGAAATGGAGCTGTTTCAGAATTTTTGAGTCCAGGATGATTTTTCACTGAACTACTGAGTGGGTAAAAACAAGTTCCCAAAGTGTGTTGGCTAAGAAAGAGCATCAGTGTGTTTAGCCATGAGATTTAGTGATGGCCTTGGCTCTGCTGAATCTCATAAGGAGTTACTCTGGGTGAAATATGGGTTAGTTTTTCTATTTTCAATTTGATTTTTTTTTCTGGAAGAAGACCAGTAACTACATAGTACAAGAACTCAAAATATTCATTATTTAAATTATTTAAATACACAGCCTTATTTTTCTCTAACTGAGATAGCAGGGAGTCATCCTTGCATGGGAAACCTCAAAGTCCTCCCTGAAAGGTGGCAGTGAGCATGGGCAGGGTAATCCAGTGAGGTGGCTGTCACCTTGTGGTGTAGGAGGTCCTTTCGTCAGTGTATTCCTTTTCTTGGTTAATGAATAAAGAAACTGGCTTGGCCTGTTGATAGGGCAGAATTTATGTAGGCGGGGAAGACAGAACTGAATGCTGGGAAAAAGAAGGGCAGAGTCAGGGGATGCCATGGATCCACGGCTGGAGGTAGCTGTGCTGAGACTTTGCTGGTAGGCCATGACCTTGTGGTGATAAACAGATTAATAAAAATGGATTAAATTAAGATGTAAGAGTTAGCCAACAAGAAGCTAGAGCTAATGGGCCAAGCAGTGATTTAATTAATAGAGTTTCTGTGTAATTATTTCTGGTCTAAGCTAGTCAGGTGGTTGGGATGAACAAGTAGCCCTCCTTGCAACAACATTGGTTTTCAATTGCTGGATACCTCTCTTTATTCCTCATTGCCCTTCAGTTTCCTTTTGTCATTGACTAGGCCTACAGGGGGCCTTGGTCATCAACGGTCACTATACTTCTGTCTTTTCAAAGAAGAACCTTAGGATGCTCCCTAAATCTTGAGAAGTAGATGGTGAAAATAATGGGTTGCAGGTCAACAGACATTTTCTCCTTCTATACCATTAACTGTATTCTTCCTGCAGTTACAAGATGTAAGTTCCAAGAAGCCTCACAAACACCACATGTATGATCTGATCCGAACCCGGAATATCAGGATCCTCACCATCATGTCCATAATCCTGTGGTGCGTAAGTGAGACCTGCCTGAGCCTTCCCCACTCTCAGGACTCTTTGTCTATAGGCATGCTCAGACCGAAGCTGAAAACTCTGTCCTCACATGATGCAAGGTTGTCCTTGTGATGAATGGCAGCCACAGGGACATAACAGTTCTTTTGTAATGGAAAGGAGAAAGTGATCAGGAGAAAATGTTAGGATCTAGGGATCCCACAAGGGAATCCCACAGGTCCTTCCTGTCCCTTGTCCCCTCTCTCAGTAGATTCTGTGTGGTAAATAGGCAGGAAGAGACTGTCAGCAACTCTGCTACGCTCATGGAGACAGAGGGAGCTCTCCTACAGTGAAGCCGCGGTGTCTGTCATTTGCACACGCACCCTGCACATCCCCATGCCTGGCTCTTTCCTCTTAAAAGTGTTCTCTGTTGATGACCCACACTCTGGCTGGGACAGTTGTGGATTTGAAGAAGGGTCTCAGTGAAGACACTTTATCCTTTAGGTTCCAGGGGCTGCTAAGAGCTTTCTGGAAACATGAAAGTGGGATATGGCCCTTCTGGGATGTTCATAGAGCAGTGGTTCTCAACCTTCCTAATGCTGCAACCCTTTAATAAGTTCCTCATAGTGTGGGGACCCACAACCAAAAGATTATTGTCCTTGCCACTTTATTACTGTAATTTTGCTGCTGTTATGAATTATAATGTAAAAATTTCTAGAGATAGAGGTTTGAAAAAAAGAGTTGGGACAATGGATTTTTATAAATGTTTTGTTGTAAGATTTTAATGGTGAAATGCAGGTTGGGACTTCTTCCCTAATGACTAAGCCAATGTCAATTAATCAATCATTTTGCTCAGACACTTTCTTTATGAAATGTTGTGAAGATGCATTGGCAAACTTACCCAGGGTAAGTTAACTTTTGTGCTAGGAAGTAAGGCACAGGGTGAACTGCCTTTCCATTCCCTGTATCAAGAGCAGTTCAGAACTTCCTGAAGATGAATGTCTTTCAAGGTGTATGGTTCTGGGGTGATGGGTGCTGTTTCTCTGGGTCTCTTTTGTTCCCTGTTGCAGGCTGACCATATCTGTGGGCTATTTTGGACTTTCTCTTGACACTCCTAATTTGAATGGGAACATCTACCTGAACGGCTTCCTTTTGGCGGCTGTTGAAGTCCCAGCCTATGTGTTGGCCTGGCTGTTGCTACAGCATGTAACCCGGAGATATTCCATGGCTGGTTCCCTTTTCCTTGGTGGCAGTGTCCTTCTCTTATTGCAGCTGGTGCCCTCAGGTATGGATAGTGTTTGTTTGCAGGATTGAGTCTTCTGTGTTCCACTTTCCTTGAACCAGAAAGTGAATACAGTCAAGACCATTAGATCTGTGTTAGAATGTACACTGTTACAGTGTCCAACACTCACTTAAAAATCAAGAGGTTACCCAGGTGATAATGGCGCACACCTTTAATTCCAGTACTTGGGAGTCAGGGGCAGGCGGATTTCAGTGAGTTCGAGGGCAGCCTAGTCTAGAAAGAGAGTTCCGGAACATCCAGAACTGTTATACAGAGGAGACCTATCTCCAACAAAAAAGAAAAAGAAAGAAAGAAAGCCAGGAAGAGCATTCCAGAAACCTTGATAGAAAAGGGAAAACTAGTCACACCTGTAATCAAAGCACTTGGGAGAAGGATGCAAGAGAATGAGAAGTTCAAGGTCTTTTTTGGTTATATTGGGAGTCAGATGTCAGCCTAGCCTACATTAGAGCTCTGAGAGGGAATGAGCCCAGTATACGTCAGGGTATAAAAGGAACTAATAAGTGAAGATGAGGGAGAGGTAAAAGAGAACTGAGGCTATGGGCAGGACTGTGTTGGTAAAACTGACTTGATAATGCACTAATAGACAGGAGGGACCCTTTCTGACAACCTGGGGAACAGATGACAAGCCTTGTTTGTCCATCACTTGGCAGAATCATTCATGGCCCTATGAATTTTGGGACCTGTGGTGGTAACTGTGAGACTGTACAGGACAACCCAGTGTGTGGCAGAAGGACCTGGGAGTGACTGCAGTGCCCTCACCTGAGCTCAGAATGACCTGTGGGTCGCAGTAAAGTCTATTGGAAGATCATCCCTAAGTTCAGATGGCTTATAGATGTTTTCAATGACTTTGTTATACTTATTTATTGGGAGAAGGGAGACGTGCTTCCCAGCACACATGTAGAGGTCAGAGGAGAGCTTACAGGAAGTGGGAAGAGTCAGTTCTCCTCTTGCACTGTGTGGGTCCTGAGATTCACAAGTTCTCAGGCTTGGCTGAAAATGCCCTTACCCGCTGAGGCTCCTCAAAGCCCAGATGTGTGAACTTGTTGAGTAGACTGGGAGCATGAACTGAGCTAGAGCTGGACTCCCCCATGCATTTCCAAGTCCTGGTTAATTCCACAGTGCCCTCCGTGTGAGCTTCTGCGGAAGCAGCTCATCCCTAACACAGGAAGACTTGTGGAAGACAGGCAGATTGGGATGAGGGGCACATACTGTCTGGGCCTCTAGGTTGAGGAACACGTTTGTCCTCTTTTAGCTAAAGTGCCCAGTCTCTTTGTAGGAATCCCCTTAGAAAGAAATCTAAGCCATAGTGTTTTCTCCCAATAGGAAGGTATAGAAATTACCCAACTCTCTCCACCCTGAGTCAGGGAGAAAGTAAGTTCATTTTAGGCTAAAAGGGAAGAGAACTCCTCCACGGCAACCCTTACGCTGGTCTTTCTTGCCTTTGCTATTGTTCCTTTTTCTCTCCAGACTTAATTTATTTGTCTACTACCCTGGTGATGGTGGGCAAGTTTGGAATCACCTCTGCCTATTCCATGGTCTACGTGTACACAGCTGAGCTGTACCCCACTGTGGTCAGAAACATGGGTGTGGGGGTCAGCTCCACAGCATCCCGCCTTGGCAGCATCCTGTCTCCCTACTTTGTTTACCTTGGTAAGTACCATGGAGCACTGGAGCGATGGATGGGACAAAAGCTCTAAGTACCTTATATGTGAGCTGGACACAGCACCTATAATCAGTAGGATGCATCCGTACTGGGACCCTGGGTGGAGAAGGTGCTTTCCAAGTGTAGTAGGGAGAAGGCACCCATTTCAAATGGAAGATAGCTCATAGACCAGCTAGATGGGATTGAGAGAGTGTTGGTGTCTCTATTTCGATCTCCCCAGACCCTCCATCACCAACTAGATTTCTTCATCCCAAGAAATTCTTTAGGGAGCCAGTTTACTTCACTAGAGGAATTTCTTCTTGGAGTTAGGAACATGGAGAGAAACCTGTCCATCCAAGGGGTCTGAGTGATGGACTGACAGTTGCTGTAACTTAGAACACTTCATTTCTTCAGGGTGTATTTTGAGATCAGAGGACAATTTAGGGGAGTCTTAAAATTAGTTCTTTATTTGGAGCATGTGGATCCTGGAGATCAAACTCAGGCCACCAAGCTTAGCAGAAAGTATTTTTACAAGCTGAACCGTCTCCCTGGCCCCATTTTACTTTCAAGATTGTGGCTCACTAAGTTGCGTGAGCTGGACTTGGACTTGCTCTGTGGCCCCAGCAGCCCTTGAACTTTAGCTCCTCTTGCCTTGGCCTCCCAGTAGGTGGCACACAGGCCTTCATTGTCACACATGACAGGGTGTTTATGCCCTGTGAAGATCTGCCTGCTGACATTATAGAGCAGGATTCCTTCCTGGATGCTGTTGCTCCTCTGCACATTCCTAGCTCTGGGGAGGACCTGCCAGTGTCCCGAGAGTAGCAGGTACTCTGAAGGCTTGGTACATGTCTCTAAAGAGCTGTAGCCCCTTTTCTAACCGGCATGCAAATCAAACTGGGACATATCTGCTCAGGTGGAAAGTTGCTCCTGTCCTAGACAAGTACCTTGTGTTCCTTGAGAACCCTGCAGCGTGGTGACTCTGCTTCCCAGTACCTCTCCCTTGTCCATTGTGGACACTGCTGGATCTCTGGGCACATTGTGCCAGGACTGGGTTCTGAGACTCTCTAGATGCCAGCCTTCACTCTTGCAGTCTAGGCTTTGGGAAACACTGAGACCAACAGTAAGGTGAGTCTTATATAAAGCCCCAAGGAAATATAAGGTCAGAATGAAACCAGTGTCACTGTAACCTGGGTCCTCTGCTTGACCACAGGTGCTTATAATCGCCACCTCCCTTACATCCTTATGGGAAGTCTGACCATCACGACAGCTATCATCACCTTGTTCTTCCCAGAGAGCTCTGGTGTCTCTCTCCCAGACACCATTAACCAAATGCAAAAGGTCAAAAGGTAAGAGACCTTCCTTACCACAATTTAGATGCATTTGGTCAGGTTCTGGCCATGTCCTTAGGCCCCAGCCCCTTGAAATAGTGCTCCCTGCAGACTGTCTCACAAATAACTGGACTACTTTAACCATGGTGCTGTAAGGGTAAGGGCCTGATCCTGTGTGAACAGGTGACCACGTGCATGACCATAAAAGCAGCCACTCTAGTTTAGTGCAAAGACTACGGGAAACTTCAGAATCTGCCATGTCTTTGGTTTTTCTCCAGATCTGGCTTGTTTGTTTTGAGACTGATAGGTATTTTTATAAGATCTGTAAGTAACATTGCTTTCCTTGTATTAATAGAATAAAACAATGGCAAGCCCAAAGCCAGACAAGGATGCTAAAAGATGGTGAAGAAAGCCCAACAGTCCTAAAAAGCACAGCCTTTTAACACTCCTCCCGAAGGTGAAAAACTAAACAGACAGCCTGTGTGTTGTCAGAAACACTGTCAATGGGCAAGGAGTTTTCGGTTCTGTTGACGTCGTGTCTAATGTACTCATGGATGGGTGCATCTGTCCAGAGAGACACCTTCCTCCAGGGACACCAATGCTAATTGCAGACAGCTTGCCCATCCCATTCTAGTGGTGGACTTGGCCCTTCCAAAGAAGTCAATGAGTCTCTTGAATCAGTGGGACTTGGAAGACTATGCGAAACTTTGTAAGACGGGTAAGGTTGCACAGATAGAGATGCAGGTCTGTTTTTCCCTCCTCTCCCTAACTGACAGACTCACAGGAAAAGGAATAGGTGTTGCTCGGTGAAAGTGTGCTTGGCTAGGATGCACAAGGCCCTGACGAAGAACCAGAAGGAAACAAAACTTCTTCAGAAAATAAATGATTCCATGGGGAGTTTGATTTCTCATCTTTCCTAAGTTACAAAACTCCTTACTGTGATTGCTTCAACTCACAACAGGAGAACACAAGACCTAGGGCACCCTAGAGGGAATGAAGGTGGGAGCAGGTACATCACGTCAGCAGTGTGTGGGCAGTGACTGCTCAGTCCCACAGCCAGCTGTGCTGTGTATGTCTGGTCAGAGTCCTGGGCTTGTCCGGGCCGTGAGAAATCCACTGTTGAGGCCACTGCTTGGCTTCCACTGCTGTGTAAATCAGAATCCCTGGCTAGCAGACGCTTACCTTGAAGGGCATGTATGGGTGACAGAGTGTCCCTCCTTCTCTCAGCACTGTCATGGGATTGTTTTGTTTGTCGTCTGTTTTTGTTTCTCAAGTTATTCACCCTTCAGCAGAGACTTGGGAGCAGTGTTTCTCAGCTCTGCATTACCCTGGCTGGTGTACAGTTGCCGCCATGGAAGTGCAGTTGCACCTCCCAGCCTTAGCCACTGTCACTACTCTGAGTCCCCAAACCATAACACTACGCTTGTTCCTTTTACGATGTATAATCATGGGGAAATTCAAGAAAGAAATGTAAGTTGTGTTGACAGTCTCTCAGAGTTGCTGGCTGCAGCCGTGTAACATCGGCAGGTGTTTGTGTTCAGTGTCATTGTCCCTTCTGATATTGCACACACTTCACCTTCTTTAAAGAAAGAAACAATATTTGGTGGAAACTACTGAAGTTCTTTGGGCAGAGATAGCCTTAATAAACAATGATATTTTAAAATAATAACAACTAACTATAATCTTTATTAGAATTGGTTAGGATTTGTGGGATGGCTAATCTTGGTTGTCCACTTGACTACATTTGGAATTAACTAAAACCCAAGCAGCTAGGCGCACATGTGAGGGCATTCTCTTAGTTGGATTATTTTATGTGGAAGACCTCCCCTAAATCATGGTCATTTAATATCAGAAACTTCACTCTAAACCTGGGCTTCACCTCCTGGCGACAGCTCACAAAAAAAGAACATGGAGGAAGAAAAGTTTTTACTGCCTACTTGCCTTCTCTTTCACTGGCTAGTTCATCAATCCTGTCCTAAACCATTCCTTCACTGGTGTTATAATCCACCTCTAAATTCCAGCATGGACTGAAAACTGACAGTTCTCTAGGACCTCCTTGGTCCTCCTCCAGTACTGGATGGGATTGCTGAGATATCCAATAATGTGGAGTGAACAACTCCCAGATCAGTAGCCTTTCCATCAGGTATAGCCACTGTTGAACTACCCAGACCACCTCCGCAAGCCACTCTAATAATTCCCTTTTTAATATCTTGCTTCATTCTGTCATTTCTGTTTCTTCAGAGAACCCTGACTAATGTACCTAGAAACACCAGCATGCAACTCTTCTGTAGGCTAACTATTAGTGTTCAGGGTTAAGATTTAACTCATACTATGCTATATAATAGGCATCTACCCAATATTGACCATGATTTGCACCAGCCTGGTGCACTCAGCCTGGGTCTCCCTGGAAACAGCCTGAGCTCGGAGCTTCTATACAGTTCTATACTCTACCTGGAATAAGACTCTGGGGAGCAGGAATGCAGAACAGGGAAGGAGGGAGGCCCAGTCCTAGGATGCTTACTGTGTTGGTCAGCACCTAAGAAAGAAACTGCAGGGTCCTGAGTCTCTGAGGAAGCCTGGGAGATGCATCTCAAAACCGTCTTGCAGCACGGAGAAAAGTGGGGAGCATTTGCCTCATCACCCATTTAAAAAGACAACACTGGGGTCTCTGTTTCCTATACACACAAAGATCCTGTCCCCTGGATGGAATGCATGAAGCTAAACACTGCTGACCCAAATGAAGCCCTTCAGACTGCACCTCATCAAAGCTGCCCAAAGCCTGCTTGAACTGGCCTTGGAGCTCCTGAGTAAGGGGTAGAGCAGAGAGCACTGGGCTGGAGTGGTGTACAAGACACACATGTTGATGACCAGTGTTTGCCAGGGTGACCTGTGCTGGAAAATACGATGGGACCTAAGTCCAAAGCTCAGCTGTTGCTTGGACAACTGAAGGCCGTGTCACATGACAAGCAGGAGCTTCTGGCTCAGGAGTAATACAGAGCAGCATATCTGGAAGATTCGCTTTCCTCCCCTCAAACCAGGTGCTGAGCTGGCTTTGCGATGGCATGCCTTCTCAGGAACCCCAGATTATAACTGCAGTTCTCCCCAGCATACCCTGCTGTGAGTGAACAGCTGCTACTCTGGCTTTTATTCTTGGGGTCTGGTCCCAGACATTCAGGTCCTCCTGAAGCAAACACTGAGCTGCCTGAATGCCCTGAGCTCTCTCTGTGGGCAGTGTCAACAGCCCAAGGCCCTTCTCCTGAAAACCCTCACCGTCTGCACAAGCCTGCTGTACTTACATAGTCTGTTTCCATTGGAGCGATGTCTTCAGAAGGACCATCTTTAGGAGAGAGGCTTGTGAGCGATGAGGCCCTGAATGTCTATGGTCATTGGAGCTGGCATATACAACACACAACACCAGGAATGAGAAAAGATGGAGATCAAAATCTTTTAAAAAAAAAAAAAAACAGAATCTCTCCACAGTCCAAGGTGAAGGCAAGGATCCAGGATTCGGAGACAGGATCATCGTTTAAAAGTCTGCCTGGGCTACATTATGATGCCTGGTTTCAAAGAAAAGGTAAGGGTTTGTCCCCTCATTATTATGTCTATTCCTGGCAGCAAGCTTCTTTTTTCCCCTGTGTTCTCATGAATTGCTGAACAGCTGTTATTTGACAAAGAATTATTCTACTCAACACTTCTCTAAGTGATACTGCACAAGATGGGTCAGAAAGCCCTCTTCTCTTCTGGGTAATAAGAAATTTTTAAAAAGCATGCTTTTGAGTTAGTTTTTTTTTTCATTTATTTATGTTTAGAGATAAGGTTTCCAGTATGTTATCTAGGCTGGTCTCAAAACCATGGGCTCAAGTGATCCTCCCACATCAGCCTCCAGTGTGCAGGGTTTATGGGCATATGCCACTGTGCCTCACTTAGACTTCCGTCTATAAATGCTTTTCCTAATGGTCTTTGAGCTGATAAAAATTCTGGGGCAATATATCATCAACCTTGCTATGGTTTTGAACTGACACATCCTCCACAAGCTTGGGGTTTGAACACTTGTACCCAGCTGATGGTGCTATTTTAAGGGGTTGTGAAACCTTTTAGGAAGAGCTAAGCTGGTGAACTTAGTTTACTAAAGCCATGTCTTAAAAAGTATAGCTGATTCGAGTTACGGTCTACTGTGATGTGAGAAACTTCTAACACATGTTCCCACCAACTACTTAAGTCATCTAACTTAATGTGTTCTTGTTAAAAATTAAGGTGGGACTGGAGAGATGGTTCACTGGCTAAAAACACTAGCTGCTCTCACAGAGGACCTGAATTCAGATCCCAACCTCCATGTGGCTCCTCACAACCTTCCATGATTGCGGTTTCAGAAAATCTGATGTCTTCTTCTGGCCACCATGGACAACAGGCATATATATGGTATACCACATACATGCATGTAGACACTTACTCATATAAATCAAATATATTCATATGTGTATATATGTATATACATATATCTTTTTGTTTTTTTAAACACAAGGTCACTCATTATAGTGGCTCTCCTGGAACTTACTATGTAGGTCAGGCTGACCTTGAACTCACAGAGATCTGCCTGCCTCTGCCTCTCTAGTGCTAGTTTTAAAGATGTGAGCTACCATGCCCAAATTAAAATTAAATTTAACAACACAACATTGAAAAGATAAATCATTAATATATAGATTCTAGTGATCAATTTCGGGTACCCAGGCTCACACAAACAAGAGCCTTTACCCACTGAGCTGTGTCATTGCCCTTGGCCAATACTTTAGTAATTTATCCCTTCTTGAGAAAGATATCAGAAAAAATGCTCTGTGTGCTGCTTGTGTTGTTGAGAGTGAAGCCTGTGCCTCGAGCATGCTGTGCAGGTGCCTTACCAGGGACTGTGTCCCCACGCCTAATAAACAGTACAAAAATAAATACTTATTTTATGTCAAATTAAAATATGTTAAATAAATTAAATAAACATGTTTTTTAATCCTTCATGTCGCCCAAATGTATTCTTTTTGTGTTTCAGTCCAAGCTTTCTAATGGGACCTAGAGTCCCTGACCATGTGACATCCTAGAGAACTCAGTGTCCCAGCTCAGGTAGTCAAGGCCCATGAGTGCTCAAGCCTGCTTCTGTAGGAACAGCCTGTTGGGTCTGAAGAGCTCTGTCTGCACAGGTGATTCTGTCACTCGGTCAAGCTGACAGAACTCAGGGACAGGGCCACCCTGTGGCTCAGGGCGCCTTGCTCAGAGAGGCTGCCTTGGGGTGAGCATGCCTTTGGTGAGCAGCTACTTCTCACTCCAGATGACAAGGATTCCATCTTCGGGACACAATAAAAGGCAAGATCTTTCACCAGAGGACACTTTAAAAGTGACATTATTCATCCTTGATGGTTCAGGTACAGACTACTCCTATTCTTGGTATCTTTTAAGGGGTGGTTGCTCGTTTTTCTCTAGAGGGAAAGAGTTCCAGCACTAAACTTTAATCAGAGAGAGGATGGGGACAGGTTGTGGGGGTCATTTATGGAGCAAGACCTTAAAGATGAGACTGGACCCCCACAAGAAAGACATGGCTGGTAGCCTGGTATTGAGCACAAGAGCATCATAAAAGTAGAGAGGTAAGACATGGTGATTCCTTGCCTGCCTGGCATCTCACTCACTGCACAGAATGGAAGATTTGTTTGGCAGTCTGAATGAGATTGGCCCCATAATAGGTTTGATCCTCAGATGGTGGAACTGTTTGGGAGGAATTAGGAGGTGTGGTCTTGGTGGAAGAGGGGAGTCACCAGAGGTGGGCGTTGAGGTTTCAGAAGCCCATGGCATTTCCAGTTTTCTCCTCCTCTGCCTCTAACTTGGGGATAAGATGTAATGTCTCAGATTCTTCTCCTCTGTCATGGCTGCCCATCTGCTGCCTGCCTGACTCTTCACCACGTTGGTCATGAACTTATGCTCTGAAACTATAAACAAACTGCCAATTAAAATGCTTTTGTTTCTTTGCTTGCTTGCTTACTTATGAGTTGCCTTGGTATGGTGTCTCTTACCAGCAATAGAGAAGTAACTAAGTTTCCAAAATCCAAGGCTCCTCCAGTAGATGTGAGGTCATCTTTGTGTCTGTGTGGGTCCTCCCCCAACCAGCAAGGAGACAGAATGAAGTGTGAGGTGTTTGCTGGTGAGAGTAGGAAGCATAAACAGGAACAAAAAGCCTAACCTGGAAAGACTAAAGTCTCAATGCGGTTCTGATGCCAAGAAAGGCAAGTGGGACGGAAGGAAGCTGAAGTAAGAAGCGCTGCAGGCAGAAGGGCAAAAGTATGGACTACACTCACAAGAAGTCTGAGAATTCAGACTTGATGATGAGGCAAGTTCCACCTGCTAGTTGTTCCTACAGGATTTAAACAGGATTTTAGAATTTAGATTAGATTCATGTGTATGTGTGTGTGCACGCACACACATGTGTCAGGGCCTGTATGTGCAAACCAAAAGACAGGCATCCTCTTCCTTCTATAATGTGGGTCCTAGGGATCAAGTTCATATCATGAGACTTGGCAGCAAGGGCCCTTACCAGCTGAGCCATCTCGTTGGCCCTTGTCTATCATTTAGGATGGTTTTCTACATTTTGACTGATTGCTCTTATTTCCTCACTAAAGTATGTGTCCTGAAGGCAAAGACCACATTTATGTCTGTTTGCATTTGATCACCAGCTTTGGCAAAATGGCTGCATTTTTTGTGGTTTCTACCTAATGTGTAAAGTTTGTTTTGTGTGTGTGTGTTTTGTTTTTGGGTTTTTTTTAATTATTACACTAATTTATTGGGAGTCACACCAAAGCACACATGTGGAGGACCGAGGATGACTTTTGGGAGTCATGTTGTTCTCTCCTTCCAACAGATGGGTCCCAGAGATTGAACTGCTGAACCATTCCATTAGCCTGCTACCTACCACTGATTGAATGGTATATGAAAGATGTAAACTCGGCATTCTCTTTTGTATAACAGCACTAATCAATGCTAGAATGCTTAAAATCAGTGAACTTTTGGGTCCCCAAAAACCTAGGACCAAATATAGACCCACAGAAATCACCAAGACTCTAGGCAGCCTTGGCTTCCTAGCACTCTCGACAACTGCGCTGTCTATAAAAAGGAACCATGTGTGGTGGTTTGAATGAAAATAGCCATCCCATAGACTCAGGGAGTGATTTTATTGGAGGTGTGTCCTTGGAGTAGGTGTGACCTTGTTGGAGGAAGTATGTCACAGCAGGGTGAGCTTTGTGGTTACAGAAGCTCAAGCCAGACCCAGTGTCACTAACTTCCTGCTGCCTGCCAATCCAGGTACAGAACTCTCAGTTATTTTTCCAACATATGTCTGCATATGTGCTACCATGCTTTCTGCCATGATGAAATAGACCTCTGAACCTATAAGCCATCCCAAATTAAATGTTTTCTTTTATAAGAGTTATGTGGTCATGGTATCTCTTTCACAGCAATAGATCGCTGACTAAGACATCATGGGCTTGGAAAGATGCCCCTGACAGCTGATACCCCTGATGCTCCATAAGCTTGAGAACCTGACTTCCATCCCCAGAACCCATGAAAAAGCCAACACTGGGGAGGCAGAGACAGGAGGATCTCTTGGGCTTGCTGCCCTGCCAGCCTAGCTGGATCTATAAGCTACAGGTTCATGGAGCGCTCCTGTCTCAGAAAAATAAGATACAGAGTGATTAAGGAAGACATCTGACAATGACCTCAGGCCCCCACACTCAAAGGCACACACCTGCATGAAACCAGGATTTGGCTCTGCCTGTGGGAATTCCTTCCTCTCTTCATGGCTGTTCTAGTCTAGAGTCTGTTGCTGTAATAAAAGACTGATCAAAATCAGCTAGGGAAGAAAGAGTTCATCTTACAGCTTACGGTCCATCACTGAGGGATGCCGGGAGGAACTCAAGGCAGGAGCCTGGAGTCAGGAAGCTTACTGGCTTGCTACCCCACAGCTGCTCAGCTTCCTTTTTTATACAGCCCAGGACCACTTGGTCAGGGCTGTCACCTCCCACAGTGAGCTGGTCCCTCTTGTATCAGTCATCAGTCAAGAAAATGCCCCCCCCCCAAAGTCTGCAGGCCAGTCTGATGGAAGCAATTCTTCAGTTGAGGGTTCCTTTTCCCAGGTGAATCTAGTTTCTCTTTAGTTGAGAAAAGTTAAGCAGCACCTGTCTAAAACCTTGCAAGACTTTGTTTATGCAAAAACAGCCAGAGTTCCGCTCTGCTCCCACAGGTCAAAACAGCCCCACAAGGAACAAGAGACTTGCTGCAAGGTTTGACTTAGATTTCTGATGTTCTCCATTTTCTTCATGCTGCAGACAAAAAACACCTTCTGAGGAAGAGCTGTGAGCTGCTGTTTTCCTATCGCCATCATTTGGGCTGTCTCCCTTTCCCTCTGCTCCTGCAGGAGACACAGAAACCTCCTGTGTATAGACCAAGGCCTCCATTCTGCAGGGCGTGTGCAAGGTACAGAAACACAAAGCAAGCGACTCGCTGTTATGCAGTTCTTTGTTTCTCTCTCCTTGTGTGTGTATGTGTGTGTGTGTGTGTGAGAGAGAGAGAGAGAGAGAGAGAGGGGGGGGGGGGGGGGGAAAATACAGAGAAAATTTTTACAGAGCCCAGAAAACAGTCCAAAGATATAACTAACCGTATATGTCCTGTCTCTCCCAACAGCAAGTGTTAAAAATGCTTGAAGTTGTCACATACTAAACTGAGCTTAAAGCATTTGGGCAAACTTTATGACAGTTTCAGCCTTGGCAAAAACTTGTTTCAGTGGACTAACCTCAGCAAATTGTGAGACTTAGTGTTAGAAGCCTTGCCCAAAGACTGCAGTGCATCCTCAGTGCTCTGTGTGCAGTGACAAAGTCTAGACTTCAAACTGTCCTGTCGTCATGGAGACACTGCAAGCAAGGTAAGTGCATCCCCTCGCCAACCAAAGACCTACCTTTTTGATTTAATTGTAGTGGGGCGATCTGCTCTCGGTGTTGCGCGCTGGTCCCTGCCGCCTGCGTAGCCTGCCACTGCGCCAGTACCCGCTGGTCCCGGCCACCACCACCTGCATCGTCCGCCGCCAGCTGCATTGCCCGCCTTGCATCGGTCTGTCTGCCGCCTTGCGTAGGTCCGTCTGCCGCCGCCCGCCCATCTTTTTCTTGAAGTAGATTGGTGCTGCCAGGAGCAGACATGTCTCATTGTCATGAAAAACCCTAAGTTATTAAAAACGTCTTAAATGCCATGTTCTGTAGTCTTTGAAAGATATGAAGAATGTCTATCTAATTGAAATATATCTCTATATATCTAGAAAATCTAACTAACATGACTACAAGCTTGACTATTATTGATGATTATCCATTAACAACCTATATACGTTACATTTTTAAATGAACTACACAATCATAATACCTTAGTCAAGATCAGAAATACATATACATATAACAAAATTGACCTTAAATCTCTATCAATAAAGTAAAATCTATACTAATGCAAATTATTCATATCTATATCATATCCCCCTTTAAATGTAAAAGAACGTTTATAAACCATATTTGGGAACATGGGCACAGTTTTTTCTCTCCAAACTGCTTCCTGCTGAATGGGGGCATCGTTAATTAGGTCTTTCATGGTATAACCTGTGTGCTAGTTTGATCTCAGTTGGCAGTTGAGCGAAGCAATTTTCTGAAGATGTTTACAGCAACCCTTCAGGAGGGCGTGGTCCATCATACCATATTCGGATAGAAGAAATCCACAGACTCTCACCCTCTGTGAAAACAAAATGAGAAACTCCTTTCCAAAGCATCATGTCGTTAGATCCAGATTTCAAAGTCAAGGCATTTTCAAAATATCTATGTTGGATTAGTTCAGCAGCATTTATAAACAAATATCTTTTAGCAGCTGTTGCTCTTTCCTCAGCATTCAAACAATTCAAAGAGAGCATAATAGCATACAGTATCAATATTCTCTGTGTATTTTCCATCTTTGTGCAGCTTTATTTTAACCTCTATTTTGTTTATTTTTATTTTTTTATATTCTCTGCATCTTTGTCCTGGAATAACTCTGTAGACCAGGCTGTCCTTGAACTCTCAGAGATCCACCTGTCTCTGCCTCCCAGGCACTGGGATTAAAGGTATGTGCTACCACACCTTGAAGTCACAGAGGTCAATCTCCCTCTGCCTCCCAAGTGTTGGGATTAAAGGTGTGTACTACCACACCCAACTACTTTCTTTCTTCCTTTTTTTACTTTTAAGAACTTCAACTTTCAGCCTGCATATATTATTAACACACTGTAAATCATTTAAAATTTTTCTTTGTCTTTGAATCTCTCTTTACTGTATATCTCTCTTTTTCTGACCACATGAGTCTTTGATTTACCAAGCAATATCAGTAGGACTAAATTTCTTTCCTATCAGAGTCAATTCTCTCTCAGCCTCAGCTGATAGGTTTTTTGGAGTATTTAAGTCTTTGTCACCTTGTAAGGTTTGAAATAAATTACTTAGTTCTGGAGTTGCCAATCCAATTGTGGTTTGTAGCCAGTTAATATCTCTCAGCAATCTTTGAAAATCTTTAAGAGTTTGTAATCGATCTCTCCTGATTTATACTTTCTGTGATTGAATTTTCTGTAAACCTATCATGCATTCTAAATAATTAGTAGAATTTCCTTTTTTTTTTCAGAAGCTATTTGAGATCCCCAACAAGCAAAATACTCTTCACTTCTTCAAACATATTTTTCTTAAGGTATCTGCATCTGAATCAGTAAGTAAGATATCATCTATTTAATGGTAAATCATATATTGAGAGAACTGTTTACAAAATAGTTCTAAAGGCTGTTGTACAAAATATTGACATAAGATGGGACTGTTTAACAGTCCTTGTGAAAGAATTTTCCAATGCTACCTTTTAATAGGCTAGGAATTATGAATAGGCACTCTTCTGTTCTTTTAAAGATGTAGTTAAAAAGAAAACAGTCTTTAAAATCAGTCACTATAATAGACCATCCCTTAGGTAATAAGAAGGCAAGGGAATTCCAGGCTGTAAAGATCCCATTGGCTGAATCAGCTTATTTATGGCTATTAAATCTTTTAATTTCTCCATTTTCCAGATTTCCTTTTAATGACAAATACAGGAGAGTTCCAAGGTCTGATTAATTTTTTAATATATTAAGTATTTAGCTGCTCCTATTCCAGTTGTTCTAGTACCTATGATTTTTTTTATGTCAACAGCCATTGTTCTACTCACACAGGATTTTCAGTTCACCATTTTAAAGATAGGGTTGTTGATCCTTTGAAATACAAACAGCTGTTGTGCTCTGCTTATGTACACCCTGAACAGTCTGTGGCTGTTCTTCAAAATACCTTTTAATATTTCTCTCAGCAGCACTCTTAATTTATGGCTTGTTTCTAATACTGGAGGAATGTCAGTCTGTGTTTTCCATTGCTGCAATAAATCACATCCCCCTAAATTCATTGCTATGGTAGCCACATATGGCTTTAATTTTTTTTTTTCTCTGTCCCTCTGGTCCTTATACTCAACCTATCTTACACTTTGTTTTACCTGAGAAAGTTCCAATCCCTAAAAGCTGAATATTTACCTCCTCAAGAAGCCAATTTGGATGCCAACATTTTGGTGAAATTATTGTTAAGTCTGTACCTGTGTCTATCAAATCCTCAATTTCAATGCCATTTATTTGTATTTTGGCTTTAGTCTCTGATCATTTACAACAGTTTGCTAAAATACTTGCTTTCTGGTCTCTCCTGAACTTTTTGTTGTATCTATTGAAATTGTTCTGTATTTGATCACATCCAGAGAAGTATGGCTTCTAACAACAGGTATTAAGTCTTTTCATTGCTCTGTGGATGAGTTTCTCTGACATTGACAGGGAATGGTTGAACCAAGTTTGATATTAGGGCCTGCAGGAGGCCCCTCATGGCATTTTCTGATAGCAAAGTTTTATTTTGCCTGTCCCTTGTTGATCTGCATTCATTAGTCCAATGCCAACCTTTATCACACCTTATACATACTCCAGAAGGCTGGCGCCATTATTTATAGGCTTAAATTAAGTCTACATTGTTCTGTTTATCAGTAAGACTCAGGAATCAAAGGCTGGGGTGAAAACCTGATAGCTCAGACTGAGTAGCAACTAGTTGAGTTTTGGCTGGAGACCCTGCAAAGAAACACATCTCTTCCCTCATCCCAGAACCCAAAAAGAAAGTTCAAACTCTAGTCTCCAGTCTTTCTTTACTGTGTATCTCCTCTATCCAAATTGCTGGCTTCTCTGTAGCCAATTCCAGTCAGCTACAGAGGTCCACCCCATGATTCAAAGGTTAACTTTATTGGCAAGTTTCAGGAGTGTCCGAGTGTGATCAGAATATCCCACAACATGCTAGGGATTTGAATTACTTTCTCATTCTTTCATGGCAAGCACTTTACTCATTCATCCTTCTCCCCAGACCCAAAACCATCACAAACACCAGCCCTAGTACCAGCACAAGCCCCTCAAGTCCCTGAGAATAAGATTTCTGAGAGCCTCTTCTGTGAGAGAGGGGCAGTGCCACAGCTCTAGTGCGACTTTCCACAGTCCTCCCTCTTCTCCACATGGCCATGGTCTCACTTCAGGGTAGAGAAGGAGGAGAGAGCCAGGTCAAGGGTAGGTCGGAGCTAAGGTGTGTCAAGTCAACAACCAATAGAGAACTCCCTGTCTATTTGGGTCCACACCCCTCATCCTAGCAGGCTCTACAGGAAACTGCTGACATTAGGTCTGGGATAACATTTGTACTAAGACCTCAGGTCTGAAGGCCTTTGAGTTTCACTGAAAACTGATCTGTCTCAAAACAGGCGGAGTTCCAGGTTAGTTCCTGAAAGGGAGGACTTGGTGGAAGGACAGAAACAGTAGGACTAAAATAGCTACATTCCAGAGGCATTTGTTGGGGTTTTTCTGTGAAGCCAGATTTTAACCCAACAGATTTTTATTTAAAAAATTCTGTCTGTGCCTACACTTTATCCTCCATGCTCTGGGAAAGAATCTAGATGCTTGGGACAGTAAAAGTTCAGGTTGGAAATTAATTTTCACACTGATTGCAGAAACTGAATTCTTCTCAAAGCTGTACAGAGTCTCCTTCTGGGCTTCTCTTAACCCTCCCCAGGCTTGCCAGAGTCTTAGGTTGTACAAAAGGCCAGCCAAACTCTCCAAAGCAACACAGAATGCGGAGGAAGTGGGACTCAAGATCAGGGTCAATGACCTCCCGCACCCCAGCTTTCTCCCAGACTCCATGTCATTCTCAGGCACAGCATCATAACCTGCCCACAGACTTCTGGGTAAAATAGCAGCAGTTCCCTCCTTAGTCATCTATAAAGAACTGCTTCTCTGTTTTCTACAGGAAAACCTAGCCACCTCCTGTCTCGACTGATTCATCAATTCAGTATTTGCCAGTGCTTCTAACATCAACACCCCACCCCCACCCCTGCTATCCCACGCTAGGACAGTTCTTTAGACATGCTTAAAGCTTGCCTCCTCTGGTCCATATGTTTCTCTTCAGTAAGGGTACAACTGATGGCGCCTTCTACAGCTTTGACTCACAGGAAACTCAGATTTCTTTGAAGTTGAACTACACCAGTTATGTAGCTTTTATCAGCCACGTATTTATTTTTCACTTATCTTCTAATGTATTTATCTTTTTATATTGAGGATCAAACCACATGTTTCCTGCATACAACTGTATTGAATCTACACTACAGCCCTTAAATGCTTTTAACTTGAAATGTAACTTTATCCTTGTCTATTTGAATGGAATAGAAAAGACAAAGTTCAGAAACAAAAATTTTATTTTTTGTGTCATAGCAGCAGGAGTGTGAGACCCCTGGTCACACTGTGTCACTATTCAAGAGACAGAAAAAGATGAGTGTCTGTGCCCAGCTCTCTTTCTCCTTTTCCCCCATCAATAAGAAATTTACTTATTTTCTTGGCAGTGGTGGTTCACACCTTTAATCCCAGCACTCAAGTGTTAGAGGCAGGTGGATTCTTGTGAGATGGGAGCCAGCCTGATCTACCAAGCAAGTTCCAGAACAGCCAGGACTACACAAAGAAACCGTGTCTCAAAAATAAAATGAAAGGAACGGAAGGGAAAGGAAAGAAAGAAAAAACAAGTTTATTTTTTAAAAATCCAATGTTGGCATTGTCCAGAAAATTTTAACAGGTTTATTTATAATTATTGTAAAGTTGAAATGAGTTCCCTGAAACATTTTGCTTGCATTTTTGCTTTACATCTTGCATTTATATTAAAATTTCACAAATTTTATGGCAAATGAAAATGGCAAAACTGCCAATACCTGATTTCTGTCCCCTATTTTTCCATTGGAATCATATACTTAGGTAACTCTTGATGCCATAGGAAAAAAATCTCTAAGATTCAGAACTACTGATAACAGGAGGAAGACAGAAAAATTATTTTTGAGGATAAAATGTTTCTTCTCATAGTAGACTCTTTTTTAATTTATTTATTATGTATACAATTTCCTTCTGCATGTACACCTCCATGCCAGAAGAGGGCACCAGATTGCATGGCAAATGGTTGTGAACCACTATGTGGTTGCTGGGAATTGAACTCAGGACCTCTGAAAGAGCTGCCAGTGCTCTTAGGCTCTGAGCCATCTCTCCAGCCCTTCATAGCAGACTCTGAAGCACGTCATCCACATATGAGGCATGCTAGCTAGATATCTTTTGGCATAATTGTTACATGTTTGGCATGGATAGCACACAGGTTGATAGCTTAACAACAGCCAACCAGATAGGCCACATTTGCCTCCTCCAACACGCTAACAGCTGCACTCTAAAGGCCCAGATATGTTTTGAAGACCTGAGCAATTTCTCGCACCCAACACTAGAAGGGGAGTTTGAGAATCGGAAAGTCAGTGGATGATTTCTGATAGAGTCTGATTTGTTGTTGTTGATGCTGTTTTGGGTTTTGTTTTTGTTTTGTTTTTCAAGACAGGGTTTCTCTCTGTAGCTTTGTCTCTGTGTAGCTTTGGAGTTTGTCCTGGAACTTGCTCTGTAGACCAGGCTGGCCTCCAACTCACAGAGATCCACCTGCCTCTGCCTCCCGAGTGCTGGGATTAAAGGTGTGCACCATCACTGCCCAGCTAGAGTCTGATTTTCTAGTGTCATAGCACCAAGTCTGTAAACATGAGGTTTCCTTACCCCTCCAGTAGAGCTCGCACTCTTGAGAGTGGGTTTTGTAGCCAGTTGTTTTCAGGGTGCTTTACCTCCTATGGATTTACAGGTTGTCTGCTTTGTATGAGCCATGGTATGGGCACCTCCTTACTTACCCCCTTCTCCTTCGGCTGGAGCTCTGTTAGTGAGAGGCAGCGCTGGCATTACAGTGGTACTGTTGGCTGTGAATGCCCTTTCTCCTTTGTATTTGGTCCTGCTCCCTATCCCATATCCTGGCACCACCCACGATTAGAGTGAATCATTCCTCCTCATTTAACCCAATCTAGAAACTTACTCACGAGTATACCCAAAGCCTTGTTTCCTCGGTGGTTGTAAAGCCCAGCACATTGACAAGAAATATTAATCTTAATCAGGGGACTTAGCATTGAGGAGCCCACACTGGGATACTGGACACACCCCCTCAGCCCATCCTAGGAACATGAGTCTATGGGAAAGAGGAGGAGAACAGATCTGGTGAGCAGAGCTGGCAGTCATCACTGCCATAGGTCTTTTTTCCAGGTGAGCCCAGAGGGTGCAGAGTAGATTCTAGAAAGAGCTAGAACTCCATGATAAGAGGATGCTGTGCTAGAATCCTGACCCGAGCCACAAGGCCATCTCTGAAGACCCGCTGCTAGTGACCTGCTGTGTACTTGCTGCACAGGACAGAAACCAACTGCCAACACATCCTTCCCCAGCACTGCCAACTGCACGCGCCCTAGAGCCTTTGTACTGGTCACTGGGTGTGTGTGTAGTGCCGGGCGGCCACTGCAGGGAAAGCAGACCAGCTCCTTCCCTGCCGTCCCATCAGTGAGCACTGTCTGCCTGGGGAGCATCGGCTCCAGTGCTGACCACCAGCCCTGGGAAGATCCAGAGGCAGCTGGCTTCTAGGTTTCACGTCCAAGGGTTCAAGAACAGAAGTGCGTCCTGACAGCCAGAAGTGCCTCTGTTGTCTCCAAGCCAGTGTCTGTTTGCAGTTGTGGACAAGCATCCCACACCCTGACTCCATACAGTGTCTCAAAAGAGCCACTTCTTGTCTCCTGGACAGGACCGTCTGTCTGTGTCTCCCACTGGCCTCTTATTCTGAAAATGCAGCATTCTCAGAAGGCATTGGTAGGGCCCTTGTCAAGCATACGTGGGTTCAATTACTCCATCCTGAGGAGCGTATCTTCAGGTGGAGTTTGTATTCAGAAAAGAACCTTTCCTGGCTTGCTTTGTCTCTTATTTCACTGGCATATGAAAGATTACTTAATTTTTTTAATTTTGTGTATATGGGTGTTTTGTCTGCATGTCTGTCTGTGCACCATATGATGCAGTGCCTGGGACAGCCAGGAGAGGGCCTCAGATCCCCTGGAACTGGAGTCACAACAGTTGTTGGGGACCATGTGGGGCCAGGAATTGAACCCTGGTCTTCTAGAGGAGCAGCCATGCTCTAAATCTACTAATCCTGGAAAGACAGCTTTGTGAGAGTTAGATATTATGCTGATTTATCTGGAAGTTTCCAATGGAACCCAGGCTGAGGGTTAGTAAGGAAGGGCAGGCCACACTCCACACAACTCTGTGCCTGAGAGAAGCTCCAGACTGGTTACTTTTCCTATTGCTGTCACAAAATGCCTGACAAGGAAGGAAGGGTTTTCCCGGGCTCACGGGTTGGGGTACAGCCCATCACTGCAGGGAGGCCGTGGGAGCAAGGACTGGAGGCTGCTGGCCACACTGTGTCCACAGAAAGGAAGCAGAGAGCATGGAGAGCTGGCGCTCAGCGCATTTTCTCCTTTTATTCAGTCCAGCTGCGTCAGGTGTCTTCCCACCTCAGCTAACACAGTCCAGAGCTTGTCACGAGCTTGCCCAGAGGTTGACTCCTGGGTTATTCGAGATGCTGTCTACTTGATCAACTTGATCAATACAAGCACCTGGGTATACAAGAGTAGAGCTGTGTTCTGCAGGAAGAGAAACCACTGTCATTATCACCATCAGTGAGTGTCCTTGTCCCTTTCCTCCCCTGCTAAGCTAATGGGTTTATCTGAAAAGAAGCTGGTGGCAGGGAATGCTCTTAAGACACATGTTATTCTGTGTCGTCTTTGTTCCCAGCTCGAGTTGTCACTTTGGCCTAAGGATAAAACACGTTGTATTCAACTTTACACCTTATGATTCAATCAGAGGCAGAAACAGAAATGGGCAGCAGTCACAGAGTCCACACAAGATAAGAGGTATCTGCCTGAGGACCATAGCAGGGGCCTCTGATCCTTAGTCCCCAGAATTCAGCAGGGCAGAACCATTGCAGAGGTCTGCCCATTCTTAGTTACAAGAGTTTTTCTGGGGGCTGGAGAGATGACTCAGTGGTTAATATCATTGGCTGCCCTTCCAGAGGTCCTGAGTTCAATTCCCAGCAACTACCGGGCTCACAACTATCTGTAATGAGATCTGGTGCCCTTTTCTACCATGCTGGCAGAAACTGTACACTTAATAGATAATAAATCTTTAAAAAGAGAAAGTTCTTCTGTCACCCATGGACTGGCCCAAGTGCTACTGGTGATGGGCACATTGTACCAAGGACAAAGCTGCCCCAGGCAAAGGGCAGCCAGAGGCCAGCACTAATGAGATGAAGGCTTAAGAACAGATTTTAATTTTCCTATTTAAAAAAAATGAATTCTTAGTTCTTACCCAAACAGCTCATCCTTTATGGTAAGACTTACAAAAGCATCAATCAGCCAGTAGACTGGGGTGGGAAGTGGCTATGTTTAGGCAGCTATGTATTTGCTGCCTGTTCAGAATGAGGCAGACTCCAACAGTATGCCACCCATTACCTCTGAAGAAAACCTACAGAGACTGTAGTGTGCAGCCTCCACCAGTGTCCAACATAATCAGCTCAGCTTGAGATGTTGCTCCAAGTATCAAGGCAATTTGAAACCACAGACCCCTGGCCCTAAGAAGAGTAGGCTGAGAATGGGAGAGGCACCTGGACAAAACCACCGCTGTGATTTGGGATTTTTTTTAATGCCCCAAATTCCCATTAAAAAGCTAGGCAGTGAATGATTACAGATGTGAATGTGTGTGTGTATGTGTGTGTGTGTGTGTGTGTTAGAGCACAGGGGCAGCAGTGAGAAAGGGGGGCCATACATGGACTATGCAGAAATCTCTACAATGTCAAGCTGATCAAATGTTAGAAAGCCAAGGTCATTGATGACTTTGACCCTACAGGAAGGAAGGAAAGAACCCTGAGCAGGTAGAGGGCCAGCAGTTCAAGGTCACCTTTTACTAGGTGGTAAGATCGAGGCCAGCCTAGGCTACAGGAGGCCCTGAAGAAAAGATAGGGAAGGAAAGCAGAGGAGAGAGAAGAGGAGGGAGGGAAGAAAGGGAGGGAGGGAGGGAGGGAGGGAGGGAGGAAGGAAGGAAGGAAGGAAGGAAGGAAGGAAGGAAGGAAGGAAGGAAGGAAGGAAGGAAAAAGAGGACATTGCTAAGCATAACCTGGCAAAGAAAACAAGATTGAACCAGGAGAGTAGCTACTAAGAGAGAGAAACACAAATTAGGAGTTCTGTGGATAAACTGTTGGGAGCACAAAGGTCTTTGCATCCACAGTCCACTGGGGAAACTGATAACACTAATCACATGTGGTGGTCTCCTCAGAGGAAGAAGTGCCTATTTTCCTCCTAGGAGGCTGAGAGTGGCAGTTGCTAATGACCTGGTGAGCCAGAATGTTTATCCCAGACTCTCCCTCCCTAGACCTTTGGCTTAGCTTTCTCAGTCAATAGAATCTGTCCTTAGGGGAGATGTCAAATGTATCATATATCTTTATATCATAGATGCTCTCTCAGTCACAGAACCACAGCAGATCCTGGACCCTTAAGCTATATGGAACCCTCTTCATGGTCACATGTACTTTGAGCTGAGTTTCAATGTAGTTATGCCTACTTGTGCACCCAGATGGCATCACACCACTATAGTTGGATTTTTCTTTGGGTCACCAGCTCACAAATAATGACACGGAGACTTATTATTAATTATGGAAGTTTGACCTTAGCTTAGGCTTATTCTCAACTAGCTCTTATAACCTCACCCATTTATATTAATCTACATTCTGCCACGTGGCATTACTTTTCTTCCATCCTGCACCTCTTGTTTCCTCTCCATGTCTCGCTGGCAAATCCACATGCCTAGAATCCTCCTCCCAGTTTCTTTCTGTCTCTGCCCAGAAGTCCTACTCTCTCCTGCCTAGCTATTGACCATCTAGGTCTTTATTAAATCTATCAGAAAGAGTCTTAGGCAGAGACACATCTTTACAGTGTAAACAAATATTCCGCAACATACCAGTAAACTTTGTCCAAACTGTACTGTGTTTAAATATTACCATAAACAGCCTGGTGTCAGACACTCTAGAAGTTTAAACCAGCATCAACTAAGTTGGGCTGAACTGAATTTTCCTTTCTGCCTCTTGTGGTTCCTTTCCCTGTCGGCTGTGACACTTGAAGGGACCCCCTCCGCTACCCACCCCTCTCCTCGTACACAATTATCTGCTTGCCATGCAGTTGTGAGAACCTGAATTCAGATCCCCAGAACAGACACAAAGTCATGCACAATCCCAGCATTCCTAGAGCAAGATGCAGGCAAAGGCAGGAGACTCCACAGAAATTCACAAGGCACCTGGGGCATGCAGTGCTGAATGAAAGATTCTGTCTCAAATGAGGCAGGAGGCGAGGACCAGCCCACACGGTAGTGAGGCGAGGACCAGCACACACGGTAGTCAGGCCTTTGATCCCCACCAGGTCCCACTTTGCACCAGCGTTCACACTCACCCACTGATTAAAGACCAAAAAATGAAATAACAGTTAACAACGACGACAACAACAAATCCATTGTAAGTTGACTTAATTTTATAGATGTGTTTTAGCATTCAAGGAAAGACAAGTGTGCATAGCACCCTAAAATGATTGGGGTAGTTGCTGACCTGAGAAGCTGTTGGAAGCCACAGAGACATTCCACAGGTGGTGCAGTATGCTTGCCTTCCCCTCTGACTGCTTGACAACCTTAGGGACACAGATATCCTGACCATCATTTGTCCCTAATAAACAGGTGACATCTGGGGCACCAGAATCACCTCAGGAATGGACAGGCTCTTTCCTCCAGGCATATGCAGTCTGGTAGCCATGGTTCTTTAAGGGACCACGCTGACCTTTTAAGTGTTTAATCAGTAATCCTGTCAAACACCCACACCTAAGGTCATTCTTCGTGGGCTGGGCCTGCCCTCAAGCACAGCTTACATTCTTCCTTGCAATTCATTGCAAGTTTGAATTAGGAAGCTGGGGTGATAGCTTAGTGTTGTTAATGTGCTTACACTTTGCCTGCTTAAGGGCCTGAGTGTGACCTTCAGAACCCATATAAAATAGCCTGGGTATGTTACTAAACACTTATAATTCTAGTCCAGGAAAAGGACGACAGCAAACCCCTGGGGCTCCCTGTGCACCACCCTAGCCCCTTGATGAAATCCAGACTAATGAGAGACAGTGGATGGTACCCAAGGAGGAATGACACCCACGGACCTCTGCCCTCCACATGCATGCACACACATGTGCACACCCACCTGCGTTCACACATGCAGTGTGCACACATACACAAAAGAATTTTGAAATGTGTTTTTACTTAATCCTATTACAACTCCCTCCCAGTCTTCTAAAAGACCACCTCATCATTGCCTGTTGTCTAGATGCAATGAAATGTCATACTGTGCCCTAGAAATAAAGTTTACATGTTGAATAACAATAAAAATAATTTTAAATCAGGATGGTTAAAACATTAAAATTATTTAGGAGGACCATGATTGCTGGTATCAAATCCTGTGGTTATGAAAGGTTATGAACTGACTTCCATCTTTGGAACCCCCATGGAAGAAGGAGAGGACTGATGTCAGCATCTCTTCCTCTCCCCACACACTTGCCCTCAGAAATAAATAACTAATAAATGTGGGGTGGTGCAGTTAGACTCAACAATAGCAAAAACTTCAAAGCCACGAATAACGCAAAGGGGATATATTCCCCTTTTCTAGTGTGACTGACTTTCTCCTATTGTAAAATACAGGCTGATCTACTACTGACACGTTGCATCACGCAAAGGAAACTGTTTCTTTTGTCTCTCTTCAACTTTTTAACCCCTGTGGTTTTAAACCCAGGGTCTTGCACTAGTAAAGAACTCTACCATGGGGAGCTGGAGAGATGGCTCAGTGGTTAAGAGCATTGCCTGCTCTTCCAAAGGTCATGAGTTCAATTCCTGGCAACCACATGGTGGCTCACAACCATCTGTAACGAGAGCTGCTGCCCTCTTCTGGTATGCAGACACACAGACAGAATATTGTATACATAATAAATAAATAAATATTTTTAAAAAACTCTACCATGGAGCTATATCCCTGCCCCCTTATTTATTTTTAGAGGCAAGGTCTTGCTAAGTGGCCCACCCTGATCTTGAGCTCATTATATAACTTAGGCTAGCCTTGAATTTGTGATCCTCCTGCTTCAGCAAGTGAAGTATTAATAGCTGGGATTATTAGCAAGCATCAGGAGCTGGAGGATGACTCAGTGGTTAAAGTACCTAAGGACCAGAGTTCGGATGCCAGAACCCAAATAAATGCTGGGATGGAATGATGGTTCACCTGTAATTATAGCCTTGCATGACTACACACATGCAAAAAGCATATACACATGAACACCATACATTAAAAAAATGGAAAACTTTTAAAAAATCATGCACTACTGAGCCTGCTAGATCTGTATTTCTTTATAATAGAAGCCAGGAGGAAAGGACTGGCCCCTCTCTTTAGAGATTAAACCTAACCATATTAACATATAACAACTGACCATGAAACTGCTGTAACGAATAAGACAAGTGGACAGGGGTCTCATTATACATTAATAATCCAGAATAAGAGTAGTTCCAAGGCCACCCCTCACCTTCCATCGTCAACCTTGTGCTGATGGGGATGTTTGAGAACAGAGTCTTGTCCACCACACTGCAGCTCTTTCACACACACCAGCTTTAAAAAAAGGTAATAGATGTTCACTGTGAAAGCTCCAAATACTATAGAAAACCTTGGGAAATGTGTTTTCCCTCCTAACTCCACAGACAACTCTAGAAGTAGCCGACCCAACAGTTGAGTGAGTATACCTTCAGACTTGCTTTGTGCAGTATAAGCACGTTTCTGAACCATCACAATTATGCATTGGGTATAACTTCCTAAAGCATAACATTGTGTCAGAATATCCTTTCATGTGAGTATATATTACTCTGGGCTTTCTTCTTAATAAGTATAACATGAGGGGGCTGGCTTGTTTGTTTGTTGGGGTTTTTGTCCCACCCAGTACCCCACAACTGTTTAGTCCCAAAGAAAATCACACAAAGATCTCTATAAGTTATAAAGCTGATTGGCCCATTCACTCTAGCCTCTCATTGGCTAAGTCTCACATCTTGATTAACCCATTTTTCTGATCTATGTTAGCCATGTGGCTCAGTACCTTTTTTCAATGGGGCAGATCACATCCTGCTGCTTCGGTGGTCTGGGCAGGAGTGGGAGTAATCAGCTTCCTCCTTCCCAAAATTCTCCTGTTCTCATTACATCATTTTTACTTCCTGTCTGGTTTTTCCGCCTATATTTCCTACCTGGCCAATCAGTGTTTTATTTAAAACATGATTGACAGATTACAAACAATTTTCCCGCACCAAATAAGTACTGTCTTCTAATATATGCATGCATATAATTTATTGAACCTGGTTCCCATGAGCTGACATGCCAGTTCCAGGTGTGTGTGTGTGTGAGAGAGAGAGAGAGACAGAGACAGAGACAGAGAGAGACTGACAGATACAAAGGAAGAAAGGTGATAGTCGAGAGACAGGGAAAGAATGGAGGGGAGGGCACACTTGGGCTACAGTGTTCATATGGAGATGAGAGGACAAGTTGTATCTGTGAGTCTTAATGGATGGAAGAAAGTGCACAAAGGCAAGAGACGCAAGTTTCACAGTTTGAGTGTCCCTTACCACAGGGACTCTAGGTTCTCCTTCTACCTTGTATAACCTGGGGACTAAACTCAGATCCTCCTGTTGGACCCTGGAGTCCAATTACTGAGGAGGAGTTGCCCCGAGAAAACACTCTCACACCACAGTTGATGTAAAAGCAAGAGGGTTTAATTAATTTTGTCGCGACAGGGTCTTTCAGCATTCGAGAAGCCAGAAAGACCCCACATAGCTAGTACAGGCTACTTTTAAAGCAAAAAAAGCCACAGAAACAAGAGGGGAGTCTGGGGGTTGTTTTTCATCCTAACTGTATCTGAGGAACTAAGTCAATATTCCTTGA